AAAAGTAGCCACGTATTCAGACTTGGCTTTAACTCTGAAACCAACCATTTTTTCCTGCCTGACCCTCACCAAATCACTTTGATTTTTTGCCATCAAGTCATGTTTACAGTGAACATTTTCCTATTTCCAGTAAAACACAGACAGCAACTGTGTCTCCTTTCATAACCTATTTATGATGTAAGCGCTTGATGTCCACTCTATCAAGCCATTTTAGCAAGATGCTTTATGGCTTTTTCTGTTGTGCTCATCCCACCCCTGCCGTATCAAATGGCCGACATGAGTGCCTGGCAAAGCATTTAGTCGCTGCTCGACTTGGACATTAAATGAATTCATTAAACAGACAGATGTTTCTCTTTTGAAACTGAGCTCTCTGGCACACTGCAATCTTCATTCTCAGTTATGAAGAACCAGGCAGAGGTTAGAGAGACCACAAACAGAAGAGAGAGACCCACACAAATCATCTTTTGTCGTGTTCAGTAACATTTGGTAAGGAGTTTAGGACAACCAGCTTTTAATTCCAGTCTTTAAGTCAGCATGCTACAATACCACACACAGAGCAAGCAAGCTTTACTAGCTAACTTGCACTTCTCTCCAGATGAGAGGAAATGGGCAAAAACACAAAAAAAGCAAGCTTTGTGGCCTGTGTGGTGATAGACCAGCAAAGCAAGAGATCGATTTTGTAGTGCTACCTGTGGGTGACAGGCAGTGCTGGAGGAAACTTGTACTTCAGGCTTTGCATTAACATAATCGCTTGGTGGGGGATAAAGAGCCGGGGAATACATCCTAAGGACAACTGCCAACATACGAAAAAAAAGAATTCTAGTAATTTAGGCTGATCCAGTTATGTTAAAAATGCTTTATCCAAAAGGGCATTTTTTTAAGTATCAGCTGTACTGAGCATACACATCCCTTTACCAGGTCCAGCATTTTAGACACTCGCTGCCCAAACATGCTGCAATGAGCACCATCTCTTCATCCCGCCTGGCAGGGCAATGCTCTGCCCCAGCCCAGGCACCACAGCAGTGCCCCCAGACAAGCAGAGCAAGTGCCATCGGGATGAGTGCCACTCAGCAGTGAGCAGGATGGCACCACTGTGAATCAGGCTGAGTAAGAGGCATCAGCCCTCAACTGCATTTATTTATCCACAAGAATTATCATTCAAAGGATACTCAGTTTGCAGCAACACACCAAACGTATGGTGGGGGGGGAAATACTGCAGCCTTTCAACAGTCATGCGACACGACACTGTTCTAGCGAGGTGCTCATGCAGTCCTTGCAATTTTATTGCAGCGGTTACAGAATGGTGATGCATACAGAAGTATGAGCTAAAGGCAAATTCCGTGAAGCTGACATTGCTTGTGTTTCGAAAGCCAGAATAACGCGTAGAGCGGACAAAGCAGAGGAGAAGGAGGGCTGGATGCAAAGCAAGTCTATATAGTGCCATCACCCTACCAAACCCCGCAACTGCCAAGCGCTCGGCGCCGGCTCTGCGGCTGCAGGAGGAGCGGGCCAGCCCGGCCGCAGCCTGGCGGGGCCCCCGCAGCAGCGGGGCCGGGCGGAGCTGCACGGCAGGCACGGCGCCTTGTCACCCCCCGGGAACACCCCGTGCCCGAGGCGGGCGGCTACGGCGGAAGCCGCTCCCGTTGCAGAGGAGCGGGCGGCGCTTCCCTGCAATGCAGCACCGGGATGCTGCGGGGAGCGCTGCCCCGCTGCACGGCCCGCGGGGACACGGGCACCTACCGCAACCCCTGCGGCGGCTCGGCCGAGTTCCGGAGCCGCCAGAACACTGAGCCTGACAGGTCCGTTAAGGTGCCGGGACACCGGCGGGCGGCGCGGCAGCGGGGACGGCGCGGCTCGAATGGGCAGAGCCGCAATGGGCGGGCCAAAGCACATAGACAGGCGCCTGCCCACCGGCTGGTACGGGGCGCCCGACCCGTTAACCGGCAGCAAGGGGCCAAGGGGAGAGCGCCGGGACGGGGCGAGGGGGTGTCTGGGATCTCGCTATCCCGCTCCTACCTGCTACTGCCGGGCGCTGGTGCTCCCGCCGCCATCTCATACCTGCCGCTCCGCCTGCCCATTGGCCCGCCGCGCCACCCCCTCGGCCCCGCCCTGCTCGCGCTGGGCGACGCCATTGGCTGCGGCCGGCCCTGCCCCGCCGCTATTGGCCGGTTCGAACGGGCAACGGCTGATCCGCTCTCACGAAGGGGCGAGTGTGGCGGAACGGCCGCCCGCACAGCGGCACGCTGGGAGTTGTAGTCTGGCGGCGCAGGCCTGTGGGGCTGCGTGCCGCGGTGCTGGGCACCCCCACACCACGGGCCTCGGCCCCGGCAGCAGAGCGGGTGCCGCAACCGCTTCACTGCCAGGAACTGACACTGTGCCCGATGGACCCGAGCCAGCAGAGCCTGCACCAAATGCTCCAAGAAGCACGAGTTACACAAAAAGCTGCGGTTCCCATCTCGGCTTGAGTGTTTCATCACTGCTCATCATCGAGGTGAAATAGAGAACATAGGCACTGGAATAGCAGTTTTATTCCCTTTTTACCCCTTTGTGGGTGAAAGCACCTGCCGTGGTCACAGCCAGGGTCTCTGTGGCCCTGTACATTTGCTGCACCTGCAGTGCTCACGTAGCAACTACAGAAAGACAACTTGGAAGCAATTGAAACTCTAGATTGGAGAGCTGGGGGGAACTAGGAATTAATGTAATTTTTTTTTAATTGACTATATTTCAGCTGGAGTGGTCCCTTGGCATTTTAAAACTCCACACTTAATTATCTTGCTGCCAATCATTTCAGCTTAAACACTAAAGCTCCTCTTACACTGCTGTCCCCAGGAGGGTTTTCCCATCCCTACGTGAGGAATCCCAACTCTGAATGGGAACCCCGAAAGGTGCTGCAGTGTGCTTGGAGGATGGGGTGGTCCATCTGGATGTTGGGTGGGCACAACCCCATGGGGCACATCTGTCTCTAAGTTTAAGCTTTAAGAATCAGGCTGGGCATTTGCAACTGGCCCAGCCAGCCCTGGGAGCAACCTGTTAGTCCTCAAGCCAGTATCTGCAAGGGTTAAGAACTCTTTGTGACAATGTCATGTGCGAGTGTAGCTCAATATTGGTACTTCAGGAGGAAGTCACATGGCTTAAGAGGCTGCTGAGTGAAGAAATAGCATTCAAGCCACCTCCCAGCTTGAGCAGCAAAAGCCAACCATGTCTCCAGGTCCCCAACTCACACTTCTCCACGGGTAACTGCAAAACAGTTGAGGCAGGTAGCTGCAGGAGGCATGACCCACATCACACCTCACCCTGCCCCGTGTCAGAGAGAGGTGCTCAGGCTCCTGAGGGCCCCAAGATCCAGCTCTGCTCCCTGCCAGGGGCAGCTGCTGGTGGGGAGCAGGCTTGACTCGCAGCCAGCCTTCTCAGGCAGGATGACATCTCCTCGCTGAGGGTTTCCATTGCATTACATGATTAATTAGCTGATTAACAAGATGTTGTAGCAGTAGAATCTGTTCTCTGGACTCCAGCTCAGGCAAATTATTTATTAGCACCATCCTCCGTGCTAATAAAACTCCTCTGTTCCATGCAGGCATGCACTAAATTAAGCAACAACATGCAAATGAAGAACAATAGAGTAAGATGGAGCTCCCAAATAAATTAGCTACAGCCTTCTCCAGGCCCTGTCTCCAAGGAGAAAAGGGAAAGCAGAAGACAGATAGCTCTGCTGGGCCTACAGCCACAGGTTACAGATCTCAGAAGGTGACTGCTGCCTGTCTCCCCCTGTCCTGCTCTCAGGGCATCAGGCCCAGGCTGCAGGCACCAGAGGAAGATAGGTGTAGCTCCTGGTCACGAGGTGCTGCTGGAGAAGCCTGTCCAGTAGGCCAGACTGTGAGCTCCCTTCTGGAAGGAAAAGCAGCAGCACCTCAACATGGTCCTGGGGCTCAAGGGTCCCACTAAGAGCCCTGGGTGGGAAAGCAAAAAGCGAACAGCATCCCTGACAAGGCAGGACCAGTATCAGTACAAAAGCTCCTCCTCCATCCCAGGCTTTTAAAAGGCTCTTGGAGAAAAAAACAAACAAACAAACATAAGAAAGCCACAAAACTGGATTTGCAGCCTCCAGAAAGAAGCCTGCACTAAAAGGCTGAACAAGCACAATCCCTTTAGCTTATTAGAGAACTGAGAAGCGTTGCAATTCCAGCATGTAAGCTGCCACAATAGGAAATTACAAAGGGCTGAAGGCTTTTTAATAGGGAAGAGGAAGGGAAAGCCAGCTACATTCACCAACACGTGTTCTTTGCAGTGTGAGCAATGGGACCTGTAACCACTATCCTCAGCCCTGCTCTCTTCAGCACGCTTTGGCCAAACACCATATTTTGCGCTCAGCGTAGAAGTAGTTGGGCAAAACCTAATGCTCAGACCAATGTGATAAGGCTGAGCAGCTAAAAAGGTTCATGATTCCTCATGCTGCTCAGGTCTAGCTGGCAGGAAGTGACCAGAGCAAAGCGGTTCTCTCAGCTCTCAAAGGTAAGATAAATGGCAAGGCACAGAGGTTTGCTGTAGCAGTTTTCCAGCCAGTTTGAAGAAATTTGCAGTGAACTGTTCCTACCCTGCCATCAGGCATGGCTGATACGGGAAAAGTGTCCAGTGGCCAAATGGCAGACACTTTCCACATGGCACAGATTCCCTGGCCACGGTCTTGGGCAGAAGAGCCTGCCAAGGAGTTTGTTAAAGAAAGCTGGTTGTAAGGACTTCATCCTCTCTGGCTTTGTTCTATGGCCAGCTCCATGCCTGAGCTCTTCTGCACGTGTACCCCACTGCTCTGTGCCACAGTGCTGCTTCTGGCAGCCTCCAGGCAAGCCCAATGTGTGAGAAAGAGCTCTGGCTCCAGGTCCAGGCTGATGCTGGTATGAGCCCTGTGGGATGCAGCCCTGCAGCAGCAGAAAGACTCGTTTCACATGCACAGGAGGCACAGCAGTTATGTAAGATCTGAAGGGAAGGAGAGGAGGAATCTGGGCTGGGTAAGAACAGAGAGTATTTATCAATACAGAGAATTCTTTACATATTACTTGCTCTCGCACACGCACACCCATGCCTGTACCAGGCAACCCAGCATCTTTTTCCAGAAAGGCCATCAGTCCATAATACATCAAAGTGGCTTCCCAGGGAGCCTCAAACAAACGGAGGTCACCTTCCAGAGGACACCCAGCTGTTCCACTAACACGATGCTGTGTCCTTGGGTAGGGACAGGTCGAGCACCTGAGTGTTCTCAGGAGCGCTGGGACTTCAGACGGTTCCTGCGGCCGGCCTTGGCCCCGCGCTGGGCTCCCTTCATCAGCCCTTTGAACTGGCCCTGCATCTTCGCCCGCTTCCTGGAGGGAGCAAGGAGCAGGAAACCGGTTAGGCACTGGGCACACCTACTGCACGGGGATGCTGCTTCAGACTCCGCAAGGAGTGGCACAGCAAACGGCAGGGAGCTCCCAAACCCACCAAAAAAACTCTTTAACAAAAAGCAGGATCAAACCCGTTCCCACCCCTTCCTGGTTAGCCTCACCTTCTGTTGAGTTTAGCTCTGTTCAGGGGGATGTAGGCATAGGGGTCGAGTTGGCCTTTCTTCTTCACGTCACCTTTACCTTTCTGTGGAAGACAGTGACATGGGAGAAGATGCAGCACGAGGGAAGACATGTACATCCCATTCCAGTGCAATCCTGGCACCCGGCTATCCCAAAGACTGTTGGCAGTGGAGTGCCAGCTGAGCACACTGCCCTGGGAGCTGATTTTGCACCAACAAGATGCTACAGACACCTGCTTTGAGCAGTGAGCAGCAACTGTACACGGCAAAGATAGGACAGGAACTTTGAGGTGGGCTGGCAGTGTTCAGAGATACTGAGTGTTTGGCAACTCCTCTTGGAGCAGAGATCCCCTCCAACCTTGGTGCTATTGACCAGACTCAACACAAATGGTGTTTCCTGCCCCAGCAAAGTCTAAGCATCCCCTCACACAAACCCTGCAACCCCATGACTCCCTCACCTTGGATCTATACTCTGCACCAAAGGCTGGCTCCTTCTTCAGGGGCCGATGGATCCCAGAGCCTCCAGCTGGAAAAGAGAATGTGTGTTGGAAGGGGGTCTTAGGCCCCCCCCTGCCCAGTTCTAGGCTGTGGAAGCTGTTCCTGTTTTTGTCCCCAGCTCTTGGTCTCAGGATAGCAGAGGGGGATTTTCCCACAGGTAAAATCTCTGGAAAGATGAGTAGAGAACTGTTTGAAATTAATGAAGGCAAATGTACCTGGGGGGAAATAACCCCAGGCACCAGTTCAGACTGGGGGCCAACCTGCTGGAAATCAGCTCTGCAGAGAAGGACCTGGGGATCCTGGTGGAAAACAAGTTGTTCATGAGCCAGCAGTGGTCTCATGGCCAAGGCGGCCAATGGTGTGCTGGGGTGCATTAGGAAGAGCATTGCCAGCAGGTCTAGGAAAGGGATCCTACCCCTCTAACTCAGCCCTAGTGAGGATGCACCTGGAATGTTGTGTCCAATTCTGGGCTCCTCAGTACATGAGACATATGGAGCTCATAGAGGTGGTCCAGTGAATGATTAATGTACTGGAGCATCTCTCTTATGAGGAAAGGCTGTGAACTGGGCCTGTTCACCCTGGAAAAGAGGCACCTAAAAGGGAACCTCATCAATGTCTCTAAGTATCTGAAGGGAGGGTGTCAAGAGGATGGCACCAGGCTTTGCTTGGTGCTGTTGGGCAATAGGACAAGAGGCAGTGGCAGAAACTGATGCACAGGAACTTCCACCTGAACATGAGAAGAATTTCTTTGCTGTGTGGGTGACTGTGGACTGGAACAGACTGCCTAGAGAGGCATTCTGGAGTCTCCCACAATGGAGATATTCAGGAACCATCTGCATACAATCATGTGCCGTGTGCTCTGGGATGACACAGAGCAGTGAGGCTGGACCAGATGACACACTGATCCCTTCCAATCTGACCCAGTCTGTGATCCTGTGATCTTTGCCTCAGCTGCACTGCAGCAGCACAGCAAGATGGGTACATGGTTCTGGCCCTCCGGGAAGCCCCAGACTGGGCACAGGCAGAGGACCTACCTTTATACTGAGAATACGTTCCAGCCTCAGCTTCCTCATCATCTGGATCCTCTCTGAACCGACGCTTCTGACTCTTCTTCTGCAGAAAAAAGCAGCAGGAACCCTGCAGCTGGCTTGTCCTCACAGTTCTACCCTCCCATCGACCCCCAGCCTCCTGTGTACTTCCATGGGCACATAGAGACTTTCCAGACAGCACATCCCAGTCCTAGACAACTTTCTGTACCCCTCCAAGCAGCTGGCAATTGCCTGGTGTCCCCACTGGCCTCTTGGGCAGAGCTGCAGCTGCCATGGAACATGCAGTGTGCCAAGGATGAGATGCCCCAGCATCTCCTCAGGACCACGAGCCCCATACTCACACTGCGGAGCCCCACATCTTGCAGCACATCTGCCATCTCCTCGTCTGCTCCTATGGTACAGGATAAGAAGGTCAGAGTGTGATGAGGGCATGGAAGAGCCCTGGTACTGTGCTAGCCCCTAGAGAGGGTTCCAGTAGCAGGGTGCCTCTGCTGAACCAGCACCCTCCTGATGTGATGTAGGTGACTGCTTCCCCTGGGTAGCGACCCAGAAGAGAGCCACTGGGTGTGACAAGGCTGTACCAATTCCTGCCATTTCCCCCACAAGATCCCACATGCAGGTAGCAGGATGAAAACCATTCAGAGACCCCGAGCAAGTCTAGACTGGCCCCCCCGTCAGCCCATGTTGTACCTTTGGCTTCATCATCATCCAGCTCCTCTTCCTCTTCATGGATGATCAGACGTCCATCCTCAGACATCTGGAAATCATGGCTCACTCCTCTGGACTGCTTGGGGCCTGGCTTGGTGGCTGCTCATAGAGAAATGGGTCAGGGCCTGGAGAAGGATCCAATTCTGGGGGCAGGTGTACCCCCAGGGCCTCTGTGCATTGCAGCAGCCCCTGCCCCATCCATCCCACCCTAGCCCTATCTGAAGCTCCATTCCTTACCCAGCACCCGCTGGGACACATTGGGGTCCAGGAAATTGAGGGGCTCATCATTTTCCCCTTCCTTAAGCCATGCCTGGCCCTTCTGCCGTGCTTGCTTCCTCCACTCCTTGCTCCGATGCCGTTCCTCCTCTTCCTCCTCCTCATCCTCTGAGTCAGCCAGGATCTCCTCCATACTGCTCAAAAGGTGGAAAGGATGATGGAAAATGGAGTAAGCCCAGGGGTGCAGCCTGCCTCACAATGCAGAGCAGCCCTGGAGATATCTCCAGCATCTCTAGAATCATCAACTGAGCAGATTCAGTGCCAAGCCCCCTGTGGGGGCTGCTCCTTCTTCACCCCAAGCCTGTCTTCACCTGTCTCCTCTGGGCTGTCGTGGTGGTGCCTCCTCCTCATCCATATCTGCAGCTGCCTTCTTCAGGGCACGCTGCTTGCGGCTTCGGGATTCTGCCTTGCGGATGTTCACCAGCACCTTATGGTACTCGGCTGGCAGCAGCCCCTTCACCAGCTCAAAGCTGAGGAAACATACAGACAGCAGTCAGCACCCACTTTCTCCTGCACTGCTTCCCAGAAAGCTCCCTGAGCCATCCCAGAAGACCCTGGCTTACCCAAACTTGCGGATGAACTTGATGAAGAGGTTTCGCAGCTTCATACGGAAGTGGCGTCTCATGTCATCTGAAAGGTTCCCCACAGCCTCCAGCTGTCAGGACAAAGACTCTCAATACCAACGCACTCCTGCCTTGAGGACTCAGCCTCCCAACCTTTATCTGCATGGCCACCTTGTTCACCCTGCTGCCATCTCTCCATGCCTGCACCAGGTAAGGCCATTGGGAGGTTTCCATGCTTGGCAGTGCTCGTTCATGAGGCTTTCCTAGCACGTCTATGCCAGGATTCAGGAGAAGAGCCTCCTCACAGCCATCTCAGCCACTGAGATCAAGGTTGTTTCCTTGGCTTCCAGGCAGAGTGCAACTAGAGATGCTCCTGTCTGCCCAAGGCAGACACAGCCCTGCCCCACCACCCTCCTCAAGGCACCCCGTGCATGATCTCACCATCGTCTGGACATGCTTGGCCAGGAGCTTGGTGTCCACCAGGAGCAGTGTGACCTTCAGGAATCCCAGGGCTGCCTTGACTACATCCCGTGTGCGGGAGGCCAGCAACAGGCAGATGTTCTGCAGGAGCTGCTCTACCACACTGAACTCCAGGTGATCTGCAACCATGGTGGGACTCAGCCACAGCTGGCTTCCTCCTAGCACCCATCTTCACCGAAGGGCTCTGCCTCATCCCCCCAGTCCTCCTGCTCCTGCTCACCTTTGAACTCGAAAAACAGGCGGGTCAGTGCCAACACGGTGCAGCTGATCATGGTGACTGAGCCAGTGAGCCCCACGTAGATCAGGAGCAGGAACCGCTGCATAGCCTCTGCAAGAGGGGGATGACTCAGGCCCCGACTTGCTCTGTGTCCAGCAGTATCCCAGGACCATTTCAGCAGAGTGCTCGGCCTGGGTCTGACCTCCCTGGGGCCAGAATGGCTGTGGGGCTGAACAAGTAGAACAGAAGCTCACCTTCAGGGGTGGGTCCAAAGCGGATGAAAGCATGTCCCATCTCCACGAGCAGCATGAAGGCGTTCTTGCGGGCCCCCACTGATACCTCCTTGGTGCATAGGATGACCTGGAGGAACACAGGCATGTCACCACTGCTGCCACTACCACAGCCAGAACCAGCCAGTTCCTCCCAGGGACCATGCTCACCTCTGGGACCAGGGCAGTGACAAAAGGCTCGTGCTCTGCAGATAGCTGCTTCACAATGTGGAACAGGCATTTCAGCCGGGGCTGGGGAAAGAAACGGACCAGCACTGGTACACCCAGGGACACACACTTGGTTATCCCTGATGCCTACCCTATCTCTTCCCTTCCAGCAATGGCTGATCACCACCACCACAGCTCTTGTTCTCACCCTCTTAGCTGGGGATGCTGCGCTCTTGAGTGAGTCCAGCAGCGCTGCCTGCAGGTCCTGGAGGTGGGAGCGGACAAAGGCCTGGCAGGGGGCGTGGGGAGCTGCACACACCTCCTCCAGCACACGATACGCCTTCTTCTGCATGCTGCGCTCTTTGCTCTGCAGGGACAGACAACATGTTCCCACTGTCAAGGCAGCCCCTCACCATGGTGTCTGAAGGGACACCGGCACTCCACACCACCCAGCAGAGACCCATCCCCTATGGCAGCTGCTCAGTCCCTGAATATGGGTCCAAGCCGGCAGCAAGCATTAGGTGCCCCACTGCAGCCCCTGCACCCCTTACGGTTGGGGACCAACTCACCTGGAGGGAAGGCTGGATGGTATGGTACAGGGAGTCCAGGGACTGCTCATCAGCATAGGGTGCCATTGCCACTACCAGGTCCAGGATGGAGAGTCTGCAGCAGAGGACACACAGCTGCAGCTGTTAACTGTGGCATCACATCCCAACCAAACTGGGGCACCAGCTGTGAGTCACATCAAGTGCACAATGGTGGCAAAACCCACAAAGGACAATGCCCTAGTGCTGCTCACCAGGAGCACACCAGGAGTTTTACCCATTAGCACCAGCTCCCAAGTGTTACCTGGTGAACTCAGAACTCTCAGGACTGGTCAGCTTTTCACTGGCTTTCTCCAAGAATCCACACACCATCTGCAGAGCAGGCACAGAGAGCAGGATCAGAACTGATTGAAGTGAGTGCTTTTACAAGAGTTTGCAATCCACCTGGCAAACAACTTGCCATGGGACTTTGTGGAGACCAGAAGCACCAGTGAGTCCAAGAAGACCTGGACAAATTCACAAAGAGCTTGTGCGACTGGCAAGATGTGACTGCAAGACTAGGAAATCCCAGACTGTGGGCCAGAAAGGTCTCCCTGCTCATGAGGGCAGGAAGGGCTGGTCTCTGGTCTTCAATCCGGCCTGCACCAAAGCCCCGTCAGACTGGGTCTGTGTGGGAGATGCTAGCTCAAGCCAGGACAGCTTGCCCTAGTGCCCCACAGGCCTCTCACCTGAGGATCCGTGATGGTCAGGTAAGCACGGACAGTGTCTAGCACAGAGCGGCGCTGAGCACTTGTGCCTCCATTTTCCTCAGGTTGGCTATACACGTTGAACAGGATGGGCAGGAAATTTTTGGCAAAGCGACCCACTTCTGTCCGCTCCGCATCTAGGGAAAGAATGACAGGGGGCTGCAGATCGGCATTTCCCCTCCCACAGGTGACAGGAACCCATCACAAGGATCTGCTTCCCCCCAACCTGTCTCGCAGCCTTTGTGGATGAGGGTGCGCAACGCCTGGCACACAGTGGGGCGGAGATCTGGTCGCTCACTGATGGCCATGCCTAGGGTGCGGGCCAGCCCCTTGAAGGCCCCCAGCACATCTGTGGGACGGGTGCAGAAGCCAGGCAGCAGAGTCCAGACCTGGAAGGCAAAAGAAAAGGTAGGAGGCCACAGTCTTTGCCCAAGTCACTGCTCCCCAGCCTGGTACCAGAGGTACACTATGGGAGGGCTCCCAGGCACTGCTTGTTACCTGCCACTGGAGTGTGTCATAGATCTTGGCCTCTACACTCTTCCCAGCCTGGGTAAACTCCAGGGCTGCAGAAGAGAAAGAGGAAATGAGTGGAGTAGAAGACATTGCAACGCCTTAGGGCAGAGAAGGAAGGTCCCGCAGAACACCCTGGACTGCTGAAACCCCCAGCATCCTGCTCTCCTCACCTCTGTTTTTCAGAGTGGCCGCCAAAGGCAAGAAGTAACTGGTGAAGAAGCCAAGCCGTGCACCCTGCACGTTGTCCCGCAGCACTGGTAGGAGCCAGCTGCGGGGGAAATCCAGCGTCTCCCTGGGGAGGAAAGGCATGGGTCAGGAGAGTGTGGGGCACTGCCAGCATCAGTCTCTGGGCACAGGGCACTTTCACCCAGCCATGAAACTGAGCACAGGTAGGCTTAGCAGCCATAGCTGCAGCACTGCACGGGGACTGAACAGGAACATAACAGCTGCAAAGCTCCCCCCATGACTCTACTCACTCCTTGCCATTGATCTCCAGGGGCACAGTTTCCAGAAGTACCTCGGGACCCATGGTGCTCACAGCAGCCCCCACTGCCTGGTCCACTTCAGCCATATAGGGAAAGTGTGGGGAGAGACGCAAGTCGCACAAGGACTGGAGACACTGCGGGGACAGGGCAGAACAGTCACAGAAGAGCCATGTGCACAGGTCTGGACGTATCACTCTGCCCACCCAGGGAGGCCTGCATGTCCCTGTGCTGAGTGTCCCAGAGCTGCACACGCTCTAGCCATAGACAAACAACAAAGCAAAGTAAACAGCATGGTCCTGCTCCACAGCTGGAGAGGGCAACACAGCCAGGACAGCAGCACAGCCACCCCACCAGCCTCTATGGATGAATCTGTGTTCTCCCAGCCTGGCTCACCTTCCTCATGATGGGATGGCACTGCTTCCCACATGTCTCGAAGAAGATCTCCAACACTCGCAGAACTTTATCCCATGCTGCGTGGAAACGGTATGTCAGCCCTTCCTCCACTGATCTGAGGAGAAGAAAGAAGACAGTCACACCAGCAGTATTCAGGGTGCCCACCAGGCCTGCCAGACCTCATTGAGGACTGGGCAGAGGCTGATCAGAGCTCAGCCAGAGCCATAGGGCCAGCCCCTCACCTGAACATCTTGCACAGGTAGGCAGCAGGGGCTGGGGCAGATGCGGACACAGTGCCCATGTCCTCCATGTGGGGAGCAATGCACTCAGTCAGGAGGATCTGCAAGGGCAAATAGGAAAAATGAGACAGCTGTTGGACCACAGAACCCGCAGCCTCATAGGCACGTGAGGGGCATACCACTCCCTGGCAATCCCCAAGCCCCATGGCAGAGCCCCCCAAAAGGCCCAGGGCATCCAAGTGGGGAGAGGTGTCTGAGTGTGGTACCTCCAGGGTCTGCGCTGCTGCTGACACCACCTGGGAGTGTGGGGAGAGGAAGCAGTTCATGGTAGTAGAGAAGAGCCGGGGCAAGTGAGCCCAGCACAGGTCCTTCTGCAGCCTGGAGAGGAAAGAAAGGCCAGATTAGAGACCAAGCAGCCACCTTTCCCCTTGCCCAGACGTGGCCCCTGTCCATACCTGCCCAGATTGATGTGTGCCCGTTCCATGGTGGACAGCCAGGTCAGCAGTGGCTGCAGGTCACTCGTGCTGGGCACGTAGTCGTAGAGAGCCTGCAGAAGCAGAAGGTTGGGTAGGTGGGTGGGTGCTGTGCAACTGCCAGCTCTGTCCCCCCCGACACTGGTACCCCACACTCACAGTGATGATCTGGGCATTGAGCTCAGCTGGCAGGCAGGCCACACTGGTCTGGGCACTGAAGAGGCTGTGGAAAGCTTGCATGGCACATGCTGTCACCAGCTGCAAAAAGGACACGGTGTCAGGAGAGGGGGCTCTGCTTTGAACCCACTGTCTCCCTACCCCAAAGCAGGCTCTGCCCTGGAAAACTCAGCAACTGTTGCAACTATGCCCCATCTGCATAGCCTCCCTCTTCCACAGCAGTCAGGGCAGTAAGCTGTCCTGGGCTTTTCTCCATTTGCATCCTTCATTTCCAGGCTCCCAGTTGACAGCTGAGAGAATTTGATCCCTTTCAGAGTGCAGCCCATGGGGAAAGGGTCTGCCCTTGTCATCTCTGGAACCAGAACACTCACCACATGGCTGAGGGTCATGACTCGGAGCAAGGTCTCACAGCAGGTCTTCACCACAGCTGCAGGGAAGCAAGGCAGCACATCCCGCAGCAGGGCAAGGACATGCAGGGTGGTGGTGGCCTCCTTAGCACCTACAGGAGCAGAGCAACCTCTTAGCCTGTGGCACACCACAGCAAACCCTGCCCAAGGCAAAGCCCCCATGATGGCAGTGGGGCTGACCCACTGAACCAGGGCGAATACTCCCCTGACTTCTGGGGACAGGAAAACAACGGAATGGCTGAGGAGGTTTCAAAACACCACAGGTGCCCCAGAGATATCTCATACCCTCCCCAGCAATCCAATGTTCCGCAACCTCCCCTCTTCTCTCCCTTTATTCTGCCACAGTGGCAGAGTCCCCCACACTCAGCTACAGATCCCATGCTCCAGTACCCCACACCTCCAGCTTTTTCAATCTCCTGCACACAGAACTTGGCAGTGGAGGGTGCTGCAGGGTGATGCTCAGGGGCTGCATCGCCAAACATGAACTCGCTGCCCCTCAGGACAGAACACACGCCATACTGCGCTGCTTTCCGCACCTGAGGGAAGAAGAACCCAGGTGAGCAGAAACTACAGACCCAGGGGTACAGCCATCCCCAGAAACAAACCCTGAAAGCAGCACCATTTCCTGCCAGAAGCACTGGGCTCTCACCTTGGGTTTGGTATGAACACAAAAGCTCAGCAAGCCATGATAGACTTGCAGGGTGACAGGGTAGCTCCAGGCTGCCAAGTCTTGCTTCCGTAGCAGTGTGGCCAGGCAAGAGAGAACCTATGAGGAGGGAGCAGCAGAGGCATTAGCATCACCCCACAGAAGCATCTCCCTTTCACTGCAAGGACCTCAGGCTGAGCACCCAGCACCACCCTACAGCAGCAGCCTTCACGCCAGCACTCATCAGACCCTGGGCAGAGCTGACATGGCTGGCTGCCTCTTGGCTACTCACCCATCGCAGGGCAGAGGTGGAGTTGCTGCAGGCCTGTGAGGACACGATACTCATGAAGGCTTTTGAGGCATCTGAGAACTTTTTAATAAGAACGGGGCTCGGGACCCTGCCAGAAGAAGGGGATATATCAGTGGAGTGAGGAGCAGACAGCTAGTGGCAGTCACAAAGGGGTCTGCATCACCATCTCACTCCAGCTGGGTCTCTTCCCTAGCCTGGGGAGAGAGGACAGCACCAATCCCTTTTCCATGATGGGGTCTGGCAGCTCTCCTTGCTTCTCTGCCAACCACTCACCGCTTTAGGACAAGATTAAGCAGGTAGGCAACAGCAGACAATGACTCGGGGGACTCCACTGCTTCCAGCGTGGTCATCTGAGAACAGAAAGTGGCTAAGCGATGGGGCACAGGGGCTCACACCAAGCCAGGCCTTCCCCAACCCTTGGGGAGGGGGAAAACAAAAAAAGAGCAGCCCAACAGCATCTCTGCTGAACAAAGACACTCAGGCTACAAGCACAGCACCTTTCTCTATCCCTCCTCAGAGCCCACCCCTGCTGCCAGCAGCAGCTCTCCTTGCACCTCCTCCACACAACGAGCACTCACCAGTGCAGCAAAGTATTCAGTCTCGCTCTCCTTGCCCCCCTGGGAGCGGATCACCTCTGTCACAGCCGCCAGCACGGCACAGATCTGTGAGCAGCCAGCAAAGCAGGTCAGTATCTCTAAGCCTCATAGCCAGGGGGCCATCTCCACCAGACACCCCCTTCCCCAGCCCTGCTCCTGTCCGTACCTCTTTGTGAGCAGCAGAGTTGGATTCCCAGAAGCGCTGCACCTTGCTGAACGTGATGTTAGTGCAGTCACTCAGCCCACTCAGGAAGGTGCCGGAGGACTTCTCCGTGGCAGCCTCTTCAGCACCGTCCTCCTCCATACGGAACTGAGTGCTGTCACTCGCCCGCTCCAGACGCAGGGACCCCGACTGCAGCTCATTGTGCAGCTTCACTGCATCCACCGTCAAATTACTTTTCTCTGTGGAGGTGAGAGATGTGTCAGAACTGAGAAGTCACATTGCTCCACCATTCACACCAAAATCCCCCATGCTCTCCCTCTCTCCCAGCCAGACTGGCTTGGCTGGACCTCATATCCAGCACGTGGAATACACATGCTGCTTCGCCCCGATGGGCAAAAGCACATGAATAACTGCAAAGAGCTCCTCATTCCTGTGCAAAGAAACCAGAGCACAGTCCAGTCATCTCTGATGGAAGAGAGCATCACGTCCACACAAACATTTGCTGATGTGCCAAGGCTTTCTGAGGTGCTTCTTGTACTCTGCCCTATTTATCTTCTTCCACGTTAAGCCCTAGCAACCAGACAGCCAGGACAGATGCTGTATGTCCCTCTGAGTCCCAGATATCAGCCTAAAGTCAGTATTTTCAGAAAAAAGATCTCCTTGGCTAGGAGCAGCCAGTGCTCTCGCACTGCCCGGCACACCTTGGTTTATCTTTCCCATCGTGTTGTCGATTGAATGTTAGTTTGTCACGTTCATCACCACACCAGACACCACAGCAGCACTTAGAGGTACTGCCATGGGCTTTGGGGAGCCTCGCACAGCGACAGGCACTGCAGCATGCGGTGGCCCATTCTGCTTTTGAGGCCCAGTGTCACGACGAGGTTAACCCGTTACGCCGTGGCCTCGATTTGTCCTCCTCCGTTTGCTGCCTCCGCCTACCCAGGAACTGTCAGCGGCTCTGCTCTCTCCCCTGCCCCAGCCTCAGCTCTTGGAGGACCCCAAGGTTCCTTCCGCAGCCCTCCGCGCCCCTGTACCCCTCCGGGAAGCTCCGGACACAGGTCAGGATCTGCTCGCCCTGGCGCCCTACCGCCCGCCCCTGTCCTTACCCGCCGGCCGGCTGCAGAAGCGGCTGCGGGCAGCCAGACGATGCTGGCGGGTCTCGGGGTTGGAGTCGCTACTGTGGCCCTTCCGCCAGCGCTTCAGCTTGGCCGCGGCTCCTGACCGGAGCCTCCCGCTCCGCGCCATGCTGGCCCCGGCACCACGTGCGGCCGCGCCCACCGCCCCCTTTCCGCTTCCGGCGCCAGCCGCCATCTTGAATGAGGGCAGCCACCAGGGAAGGCCGCATCCCGGCCGAGGGGGCGAGAAGCGGTGTCAGGGAAGCTCAGCGGGGTCGTGCCCAATCGGGGCTGAGGTGGGAGACCCGAAGGGCCCAGTCAGAGTCCACCAGACATCCCCGTGCCCAGGCCGCGGCCCTATGAAACCGTTCAGACCAGCCTGTAGCCACGGGCGACGAATCACGCGTTACGTACCGTGACGTCACGGTGACGCCATGCCCTGAAGGTCGCACCGCCCTTCGCAGCCGCGCCATGTGGTACGTGCGCCTCCACCTGGCGCGCGTTTAGCGCATGCGCCTCCCCCCTACCGACGGCGCGCGGGGCGGGGCGGGACCGAGTGGGGGCGTTAGTCGCGCGCGGCAGCGGCGGGAGAAGTAGCGCACGCCGGTCCCTCAGCCCGTTATGGCCGCCGCGTACCGGCTCGTCCTTGTCCGCCACGGCGAGAGCGCCTGGAACCTCGAGAACCGCTTCAGCGGATGGTACGACGCCGACCTCAGCCCCGCCGGGCAGCAGGAGGCGCGGCGCGGTGGCGAGGCCCTCCGAGGTACCGGTGGACGAGGGAGGGGGTGTCGGCCAAGAGAGGGGGTCGCAGGGGACGGGGGGAAAGGGATGCGGCCTAGTGCGGCCACGTCGAGCCTAACGGGTGCTGGTCTGGAGCTCTCCGATGCTAGACGAGGGCCTCCAGTGCCATGTCGGGGGTTCAGTGCTTCTGGGAGAGTCGTAGGTACCGCAGTATGTTGGTTCTCCGGTACCGGTCGCGTCCTGGCCGCCACTGCCGCTTTCTGTAAAGACGAGGACGCGACCGGTACCGGTGCGGTGAGGCCGCCGCCCTTGGCCTTTCACCGGTTGCATAAGGCCCGTCACTCACCTTCCTGGTCTTCCCCCGCCTCCCCCTTTTCCCGTATTTTCTAGATGCTGGCTATGAGTTCGACATCTGCTTCACCTCGGTACAGAAACGGGCAATCCGTACTCTCTGGACCGTCCTGGATGCCATTGATCAGATGTGGTTACCCGTTATCCGGACCTGGCGCCTAAACGAGAGGCACTATGGGGCTCTCACAGGCTTGAACAAGGCTGAGACAGCAGCAAAGCATGGTGAGGCACAGGTCAAGATCTGGAGGCGCTCCTATGACATCCCTCCACCTCCCATGCAGTCTGACCACCCCTTCTACAGCACTATTGCAAAGGTAAGACTCATTGCTCTTTGACTGCCTTGCTAAGAGTCTCTTAAAAGTCACGTGTAGTGTGGCCTGGCTTCCTCTATAAGGTTTCCTGTGCTTTTTTTTCATTATATGGGGCTATTGTGTATGGTGCTGGTAGACTTTAGGCTGAGTTTATCCTGCTTCTTCCTTGTGGAGTTGAATCCCTTGGCATTGCACAGACAGGTCCAAAGCATAGGGCACAATATCTCTGTTAATCATTAGTGCCGTGACCCCTTCATGAATGTTTGATCCGGTTTCTTTGCCCGGATAGGCAACATATGATTTCTCCCAGAAGGGCTCATCGCCCTGATTGTGGCTCAGTGCAGCCCCAGACCTCAAAGGCACTTCCTTGCTTCCAAACCTGGCTTTGCTTACATGTACGAGGTCCTCAGGGAATTTGGGGGAGAGACAAAATCTTGCCACTATCTTCCTACACTGGATGGGGAGCACTGGGCTGCTGTGTGAGCATGGTCGTCCTCCCAGGATCGTCGCTATGCCGACCTGACAGAGGACCAGCTGCCGACATGCGAGAGCTTGAAGGACACCATTGCCCGGGCTCTGCCTTTCTGGAATGAGGAAATCGTCCCACAGATCAAAGAGGGCAAACGAGTCCTTATTGCTGCTCACGGCAATAGCCTGCGTGGGATTGTCAAGCACCTGGAAGGTAGGTCACCTCTGCAGGAGCATCCCAGGGACCCTGTCCTTCCCCAGCTGGCACTGTGGGAAGGTCCAAGAGTGACGGCACTTCTGTGTTTGCAGGCATGTCAGAAGAGGCCATCATGGAGCTGAACCTGCCCACTGGCATCCCCATTGTCTACGAGCTGGACAAGAACCTGAAACCTGTCAAGCCCATGCAGTTCCTGGGGGATGAGGAGACCGTGCGCAAGGCCATGGAGGCCGTTGCTGCTCAGGGCAAGGCCAAGAAGTGAGGGCAGGCAGCAGACCAGCACATAGTAGAGCCCCCTGCCATCCCCCACCCCTCTGTTCACACCCCCACAGTTGTAGGAACTCGGAGCTGTGGAGCTGGAGCCGCTCCCCACGGTTAGGCCCATTCCCTCAGACTAGGCTCCCCTCTGCAGATAGCCTGGGGGACCTGGGGCAAGGGCTGGAGGTCTGGTGTGAAAGGGAACCCTGGCTCTGCCAGGCAGTGACCACACACCTGTTCACTTTGTGATCCCAACCCTCAGACCCTGCCTGCAGGGGGACAGGCCAAGCAATCCCTTGCCATGCCAGGCTCCTCCTTTGCTTTGCGTCCCCAGCAGTTCTTGTCACTTGTTTACTGTAGTTCTGTCACTTGATTTAGTCCTCCTGGGAGCAGTGAGGCAAGTGCAGTGCAGGCAGCAACCAAGGGGTGTACCCCAACCCCTCAGGGGTGTGTAGCACAGTGACTGGGATGCCACTGGAACGGCTGTGTTTTGGTGCAAGTGCAACAGCACCCCAGGTTGGTACTCACACCTCTGGGCCCAGCTCTGCCAGCCCCTGCTTTAACTATACTGCCTTCAGACAAGGGTGAGGGAGGGAGCCTGTTGCCTGGAGGTCTTTGTTTGCCACATGCTTCCCCCAGCTGATGCCCATCCTCATCCTGCTAGTTAAGCAGGTGCTGTTGTGTCCCATCCCTCACGTGTGTGTATGTGGCCTGTCACTGTGGCCTCCCCCTCTGCCGGTGTCGTGAGCCTGGGCTTGCACAGGGTCAGTGTAACTGTCCAACCATAGCAGCTGTCTTGTTCCAGTTCAATAAAGGAGTAATGCGCAATAAGGAGGTGTCTGTGTGTGTCTGGGCCATGTGGGGCTCCTTGCTGCTAGCATGGGTGTAAGGCAGCAGTCACTGCTGGGCACAGATATAAGTGCAGAAGCTGTGCCAGGGTCAAAGAGCAAAGCTCAGCTCTGCAATCCCTGCCAGAGAGGGTGACACGCTGCCATGCTGTGGTTTTTGGGCTCCACATGTGCCACACCCTCATGCCAAAGGCAGGGAGCAGCACACACTGTGTGTGTGGCCTGAGATGATGAGTTACGTCCCCAGGCTGTTCTCAGCCACAGCCCACACTGATAAGTAGTGTGCTGAGATAGGCTGTGCTCCAGGCTTGACTGATGTGGGGAAACCCATGTGGTGAGGTGAATGCCCAGCGCAACTGCTCATCACTCATCAGTCCCTTTCACCAGCAGTGAAAATATGCTGTGGAAGCTGTTCCTTCACCTGCTGTGCTGCAGGAGCCAAACCAGAGTGCCACAGGCAGCCTTGGCTCCCCCCCGACTCTAAAGAACAAAGCATGGAGCTCTCAAAAAATATTTATTATCCACAAGTAGCAAACCTGTCCTGCCAGTGGAGGCCTGGCTGAACCTGTGAAGGAGGTGCAAGTCCAGGAGCTGCTCTGGTTCCACAGGCCCCAGTCCTGCAGCCCCCCCGCCCCCCTCAGCTGTTACGTCTGCAGGAACTGGGGCTGCACTCGGGCCACCTTACGGAACTCCTTGGTGTGTGTCCGTGGGCACTGCATCTCACACCAGCTGATGGGCACCATCTGCACCCCTGCAGACACAATATGTCAGGATTGCTCGTTCCCAAACTTTCATTCCTCCGTGTGGAGAGGGAGGCAGCTACATCAGCTGCCCCTCAGGCAGGGATGAGGCAGAACTGTTTCAGCCCCGACCCTGTCTCTGTCCTGTCCCTACCTGCCTCACTGCGTGCCACCACCACGCCCAGCTCGTTCTCTGCTGTGCTCAGCAGGTAGTTGGACTGCGCATCCCCCAGGGAGATCTGGTTGGACAGGAGTTAAGGGACAGACTTCCACAAGGGAGCTCAAGCCAACCCACTGTCCCTGAGGGGGAAGGATACAACTTTGGCCAGGACGATGTCACTGGGGCGGAAGCTCTTGTACACTTCTACCTGCACAGGAAAGAGCAGGCAATGCCACACAGGGCCAGGGTGCTGTCAGTGGGGGGACAGGGCCCCCACAAGCAGAAACCGGGGACGACGGGTGTAGAACAGTTACTGGCAGTGGCTCACTGACCTTATCCTTTTCCGTGGCTCGGATATCTTCTCTCCTGAAAATGGAGATGGAGGGATCTGAGTGCCAATGAGCAAAGACGACTCAACAGCCTGTGGCAGAAGCTGCCCCGGCCTCCCTGGGTGCTCGCCAGAACCTGCTGGACACCAGCCCAGTGCTCAGGGCAGAACTCCAGCTCAGGGCAACCAGCTGCACTGCCCACAACAGCCTTCCTCCCACTGAAGGGTGGGAGATCCTAACCTTTTCCCTACCGTATGGTGCCTCGGAATGTGGATTTCAGCGGCGTGGAGCCAACATACAGGATGTGCACCTTGGCAAAGCGAGAGTTAATACTGCAGACCTGCATGTAGGAAAAGGGGAATCAATGCTCCAGGCAGGGAAAGGGCAGGGAGCAGGCAGGGCTGCATGGGGAGCTCAGGTCTCATTTGGCCTCCTCCTCCCTGTGACCAAGCAATGGTGGGACACTTGGCAGCAAGCCAGGTGAGGAAGATTATACTTCTGCAATTCGAGGCACCAGAATAAGGCTGAGACCTGCAGTGATCCCAGTCCCTCTCCCTCCACCAGGAATGTAAGGAAACTAATCCCTGGTTTGTGCCATCCTTTCTCCAAGCTGCTTGAAGCACTGACCTGCACGCTCCCTGCCCCAGGAACAGTTATGGAAGGAGAGCAAAGAAAATCCTCCCCTCAAGCCCACCTCAGACTTAGGGCAGGTGTCCCTCATGCCAATACCCACTTTGTGAGCGAGGGACTCAAGGAGCCCCTGGACTGCCCCTGCCCTGATGGGAGTTGTACAGAAGGGAGTAAGAAGCCCAGGCACTTCTCACCCCACCCTATCCATGTTCAGAAACAAAGCTGAGACAGAGAGAGTTGAGGCCGTGCAGTTTGTCAACGCAGTGCTCCAGCGCCCCACCTTGCATGTCACCACAGCCCCCACGTTGGGCAGGAGCTGCGACTCGCTGTCTCTCACCACCGACACCACGGGCAGCTACAGAGAAGATACGAGGGTCAGCATAGGGCACAGCTCGTTCACAGGATCACCAGTCAAACCCCGTCCGAGTCCAATTCCCCGTCGCAGCCCAGTCTCCAGGGAGGCTGTGCAGCCTGGGAGCACGCCACTCAGCCCTGGGGAGGAGCAGCCGTAACGCGGCCGCGCTCACCTCGTTGTCCTCATTTTTCCTCTCCAGGCAGCCAGCCAGCGAGGAGAAGATGAAGCCATGACGAATGTAGGTCCCAGTACCAGCCGTGGCCTCCTCCGTGCTGCACAGCCGCTCACCTACGACACAGAAACTCAGGGGCCGCCGGGGCATCCCGCTCCGGGTACAGCGCTCGCTTCCAGCCGGCCCAGTGCGGAGCATCCCCGGGGCAAGCCCCTCCGCACTGCCTCGTCCCGTACTCCTCTCCCAGGCCACCGTGTCCCCCTTCCAGGCAGTGGCAGCCCCAGTCCCAGGAGCCCCGGATCGCCCCGGGCCGCACTCACCAGGGATGCAGTAGCGTGCGGGAGGCGCCATGCTCGCTTCTGACAAGACATCACCAGAAAGCCCTCACCCTATTGGTTCCAGGCGTCAATGCTGCGCTGTAAGCGTCGCGGCTATTGGTTCTCTCCTACCTGACGTGAAGGCCTGCTGGGGGCTGTAGTCCAGTGACGGCAGACGGTGCTCCCGGCATGCTGTGCGCGGGAGCTGCCCGTGGGCCGGCGGGGCCCGGGCATGGAGGCAGCGGGCCCAGGTCGGCGGCGCCGGGCGGGTGTGTCAGGGCCCATGCGAGGGGCTGTGGGCTTGTAGGGCTGTGGCTGCCGTGGGGCTGGGCGGCGATATAGAGGTGCTCTGGGGCGGGGAGCGCGGGGGCCGGGAGGTGATGGGGAATGCTTCGTGTGCTGTGGGGCAGGAGATGCTTGTGCGGACCCGGGAGGCAGTGGGGGTCTGTTGCCCTGGGGGTGCACTTGGGATGGGAGGCAGTGGGGGCATGCTGGTCTGGGGGTGCTGGGATGCTGCGAGTCAGGGAGAGCCGGCTGTTACTGGGCTGGATGCAGTGGGGCTATTGGCGTGGGTAGCCTTTGAGGATGGGGCTAAATACCGGAAAGTGTCTTGGCGCTGTGGAGCTGGGTGCTACTGAACTGGGGGAGCTGGGCGCTGCTGAGCCACTGGAGGGTGCCACAGGGCTGCGCCTGGGTGCCTGGACCTGGCGGGTGAAGGCCTCGTCTTTGCCTGGGCTGGGGCCAAATCCAGGGTTCCCCACCCCTCGGCTGTGATATTGCCAGTGCTCTTGTCTGTGCTCGTGGGCTCGGTGCCCCTCTGGTTTGTGGGGACGGCCATGGCAGGGCGAGGGCTGGATCCCAGTGCCCGGCTGGGCAGGAGGAAGTTGTGTGGTTCTGCTGGAGCCTCATCTCTGTGATTGTGCTGCTGTCGTCAGGCAGGTGCCTGGGGACAGTGAGTCTTGCTCTGGAGCAGGCTGGCTGCTTCCCCTGTGGGTTGCCTCGCCAACAGCTGCCGCTGTTGTAGGTGAGGAAGCTTCTCTGGGGGGCAGGAAGGCACTGTGTCTTTGGAGGGAAGGGCTGACCTCAACACCTGTTTCTAGCTGTAGTGTTTCGTTTTTTACTACACTGACAACACAGGGATGTGTGCCACCCAAAGACTGCACGGCAGGAAGTTGTTGTTCCACTTTGCACTTGCTGAGTTTCAAGGAAAAGCTCTTGGCAAGCCAAAGGGGAAACGTGGAGAAGAGGGTGATGCAAGCATTTGCATATCCCACCTCTCCTGTACCAGGGTATAGAAAGTCTGGGCAGGAGCCATGCCTGTGACCTAGAATGGGCTGCTGGGTCTGGGATCCTCATATCCAGCAGATCCCAACCTTGGGGTAAACCCCATCCTCCTCAGGCAGGGTGGAGGAGAGCCCTGGCTCCTTTGGGCATCTGGATGCTGCAGCTTCTGCCCTCACCCTCCTGCTGCTCCCCAGGGGCTGTGCTGGTGGGCACAGTGGTGCAAAGAGACAATCCCTGTGGGAGGGACTCTGAGCTCTGGCACCAGTGCCTGGCACCAGACCAAGACAAGTGCTTGGCCCAGGTTCAGAACGTGCCTTGGCAGAACCCTGGGGCAACCTTGCTACTTAATATTGATGGGTATTGCCTGCACAGAGGCCTGGGGGCCCCAGCCCTGCAGATCATTTTCCCATGTGCTGGGCCAGATCGGGTTCCTCATCACTCCCAGCAAAGCTCTCAGGACAAGGGGCTCAGCAGGCAGGGGAGTAGTGGCCCGGGGCTGTTCCTGGGCCTCTCATTTGCTGATGTGGGGCTCTGTTCAAGGATCCAGGCAAGGAGAAGGAGGAAGTGTTGGGACTCTTGGAGTGAAGCTATGAGGTTGGGAGGGTAGCCTCTACAACTTGGTCCAGAAGTTGAGGTGAAGGGAAGTAGCATCCTACTTTTTGGGGTTAAGGAGGGACTAGGGGTGGAGGGGTAATCCTGTACTGGCTCCTCCACATTCCTTGTGTGGATTCCTATTTCTGAACATGTTGGGAAAGGCTGAAATCATCCCTGGAAATGGCCCAGCATCCTGGATGCTCATGCCTTCTCTGGTTTCCTCTGAGTCAGACTCTCCGTGTCGCTCCCCCGGCCCCCTCCCCGTTGGGAAAGACGAGATGGGACCAGAGAGCACCTGAGCCCAGATGCTGAGGGGCCTGTGCCCCCTGCTCCAGGCAAAGAGACATCCCAGCGACAGCAGCCCCGCAGCCTCCAGGAGCCTGGGCTCACCTTCTCCAGCTCGGCATCTTTGTCAGTTCAGGGAGCTGCACTACCGGCATCAGCACATCAGGGAGAGGAAACCCTTCCCGAGGGACAGCCAGGCATCAGGGTGGCCTGCCCACGCCGAGCTCCTGTCCCCCCAGGCGTGGTGTGGCAGGGATGAGGAGCCGGCAGCGGATGTTTGCCGCGGTGATGCGCCTGCTCCTCAAGTGCCTGCGGCTGGGGCGGCGGCGGCGGTTCAAGCTAGTGCGGCAGGTGGAGCAGCTGTGGCACTACGGGCACCTCTGCCTCCGCTCTCTGCTCTACAACTCCTTTACCAACGGCGATGTGGTGCTTGATTCTCTCTTCGAGCCCATCTACTGGCTGGTGGACCATGTCACCCGGTGGTTTGGTGTGGTGAGTCACCCTCACTGGGCTGGGTACATGTGGTGCTGGGACAACGGGCTCAGGGCTGCCTGTGAGCTGGGACCTCAGTGTGTGGTTCAGATTGGTTTCCTCTGGCTCTGTCCTGCCCCTGCCTCTCCCCAGGCAGCAAGGGGCAGGCACTGCCCACTCCAGTGACCCAGGCCTCTTTCCTGTAGGTGTTTGTGGCACTGGTGATTGGGCTGACGAGCTCTATCGTGGCCATCGTGTACATCTGCCTGCTGCCCCTCATCCTGCAGACCTACACACCTGCCTGGATATGCTGGCACCTCACCTATGGACACTGGAACCTCATCATGATTGTCTTCCACTACTACATGGCTATCACCACTTCACCTGGGCACCCACCACGGGTGAGGCACCAAGTGGCAGCACAACTTCTCCCAGCTGGCCACTGGGGACCAGCTACAGATGTTGTATACTGGGAACAGCCTGGTGATGTTGTTGCAGGATGCCTCTGAACTGGGGAAGTTAGACTGGGCAGTGCAGAGTGGAGAGGCAGCGGGGTGGCACAGGGGAGAGCAGGAGTGTGAGATGCAGGGTTTAAGGTGCACAAATCTCTTCTGACATGTGCACAGGCCAAGAACGACCTCACTGGTGTGTCCATCTGCCGGAAATGCATTGCCCCTAAGCCAGCTCGCACCCACCACTGCAGCATCTGCAACAGGTAGGGCACCCTCCCTGCCCTCCCTGGGGCAGCCTTTGGAACCCCACTCCTCACCCCCTGCCCCAGTGTGAGCCGAGCCCTTCTCCTCTGCTCTGCTAGCTCCTTGCCCTGTCGCTTGTAGCCTGCAGGGCTGGGGGGTTCCTGTCCTCTCCCAAACACACTACTTGCACTGGATCTGACACTAACACTGGTCTCCTCTCTCCCAGGTGTGTGCTGAAGATGGACCACCACTGCCGTATCCTTCTGCAGTACTAACCGGTGGCACACTCCTGGGGGGAACCAGCCCTGCTTCCCCTTCCCTCCCAGTCTCCTCTCGTGGAGACAGCCAGCATAGGAATGGGTGATGGGAGCAGGGCCCAGAAGAACTGCCCTGGTCCCTGGGTTGGGTCTGTCACAGTTATGTACCTTTAACCCCAGAGGCAGCCTGGCTAAACAACTGCGTGGGACACTACAACCACCGCTATTTCTTCTCCTTCTGCTTGTTCATGACCATGGGCTGCGTTTACTGCAGCATCAGTGGCTGGGAGATGTTCCGGGATGCCTACGCAGCCATTGAGGTGAGCAGCCTCTCCTGCCATGCACCAAGACCACCTGGCTTCCCCAGACTGAGCTTGCAGAATAAGGCTGGGCCAGGCCTGGCCATATAGTGACTTTGCTTCCTCTCTTCCTCCTCCTGTGAGGCCCCCAACTGTTCTGGTCCTGTGGGGGTGTGAGGGGAAGGGTCCCTGCCCCACTCCTCTGAGACACATAACTGGTGCCCTGTTTTCCATCCCCCTAGAGAATGAAACTGCTTGAGAAGGAGAGACTGCAGGTGGCTGCCAACCAGGTGGGACATCCCTGCCCCCCAGCTGCTCCAGGCAGTGTGGAGCAGAGCTGCCCTGCAGGCGGAGTCCTGCTTGGGGCCCTGCTCTCAAAGAGCACCCCACATCACAACCAGCCCTGATGTTTGTCTCACATGTCAGAGACCTGGGGCTGGTCAGGCAGTTCTGCTGTGGACAGTGCCTCCAGCAGCTTGGGGTCTGCCTCTGTGCACCCAGCTTCCAAGGGGCTTGGGCTGATGACAGCTTCTTGGCATGTGCTGCTCATGCCATGGTCTCCTGGTGAAGCTGCAGCACTGCATACACATCTCCCCCTGACCACCATCTGCAGTGTCCTTACCAGTCCCATGGCTGCTCCCTGACTCCTTACCTCTAGCCCACTGTTCTTCACGCCTGTGCCAGCTCTGGGTGTCTGTCTGTCTCGTGGCTGTCCCAGGCTGCCTCCCCCTCACCCTGGCTGTTGCATTAGATCCAGCTGCAATCCTTTCTTGCTGTCCAAGCTCTGCAGCAGGGAGGGGTGCAGCAATCCCTGTCTGACTTCAAGCTGTAAAGCAGTTTGGGTAATCTTCCCCATCTGGTCCTTTTTCAGACATACTACCAGACCCCACCACCCACCTTCTCTTTCCGCCAGCGAGCTTTCCACAAGAGCGTGGTCTACCTCTGGGTTCTGTGCAGGTGAGGGGGCCCAGGGGCTGGGGAAAACAGAGTGAAGCTTGTGACATTGCTCGCGAACTACCTGCCTGTAGCTGAGCTTGCTCACTCTAGTGCAGATGTTGCTGCCCTGCCAGCCTTTGGGCCAGAGGAGAGATTTTGTGTCTGTCACAGGAGATTAGACAAGCCGACCCACTTACGCGGCTGTGGGTGCGGGGAGGCTGCCTCAGCCTCCACCAGCTGCAGCACCAGGGAAGGAAGGCCTGTGTTTCACCTGCTGTCCCTTGTCATACCTAGCTCGGTTGCACTGGCCCTGGGTGCCCTCACGCTGTGGCATGCTGCCCTCATTACCCGTGGGGAAACGAGCATCGAACGGCACATCAACAGAAAGGAGAGGCAGAGACTGCTGAAGAAAGGCAAGGTGAGCATAGCCCACAGCATGGGGGCTGGCTGGGGCAGAGCCAGACATGATGTGCCTCTCCCTGTCCTGCAGGTCTTCAGGAACCCCTACAGTTACGGCAGCTGGGATAACTGGAAGGTGTTCCTGGGTGTGGATGTGCCAAGGTAAAATCCTGGGGAAGCCCCTGCCTGAGAAGGTGGTGGCTCAGCAGCTCGTGGGGTTGTAGGGACAACAGGGGCTCTCCTTGGGCTACTGGGAGAGAGGACGACAGTGAACACTGATCCCACACTCTGCACTGCACTGGGCTTTGTAAGGCATGGCAGACCTGGACGTAATTGGCCTTGTGCCTCAGGAGCCCTCTTTGGTGACAAGGTGGCCTGCCCAGGACACTTTTGCCAGGAAAATCTCAGCTGAGGAGCTCAGCCATTGTGGCAGCTAGGATATGGTTCCTCAGAGCTGAGAAGCACCAAGACTTCACCTTTTGGCTGTGGCCTCACTTTCCCCACAGGCACTGGCTCACCCGTGTCCTGCTGCCCTCTCCTCACCTGCCCCACGGGACAGGCCTGAGCTGGGACCTGCCTCCTTGTGTGATGGAGCAACGTGCACCACTCCTGGCAATCTGAGGCCCTGTGCTCTGGACATCCCTTCCCACAGGCAGAGGAATGCATGGAGGACCTGCTCCACCACAGCAGCTTCCTTTGGCCAAAGTGCCTGGCAGAAGGCTGGCACATATCACTGACTGGAGCCAGAGCCATGGGAAGCTCTATGGACTGTGTTGGTGCCTGGACATCTGCCCTCTTGGCTCTTGGTGGCTGCAGGCAGCCCAGGGGCAAGGTGGCAGAGCTGCTGCTCCCTGCTCCAGCTGACGGTGCTGCCCTCGTTAGCGCAGGTACAGGCCAGCATTGGCCTAGCTCAGCTCTCTGAAGGGCTGTGCACAGAGGATTACAGCCCCATCCCCCAAGTGTTCTCCAGGGAGTCTTTTTAAGACCATCTACTAAATACTGTTTTTTTAAGGGAGTCTGTTTTTGCTATCTTGTGGGGAACATGGACTTCTGGGGATGGGAGAAGAGGGACCACAATATTAAAAGAAGAGGAAGGATCTAGAGCCTGCAGCATCTTAAGCTGCTCAACTACGGAAGAACACTGAGGACCCAACCTGAGCTGTATGGAGACCCTCAGAGCATTATCAAAACAGATATATTTATTCTTCTGGCACATGGGTTGTCACACACTACACGTGTGCACAGACCTGTCCTCTCCACTCACATGTGGCAGGGGCTGTCCATCGCTGTCCCTGGCTGCAGCAGAGGGTGGGCAAGCCATAAGCAGCACAACTCCTTCCCTGCTATGGGTGCTGGGAAGGGACTTCAGTGAGGGGTGTTGTCTGCTGGCCTGCACGCTCCAGCCCTAAGCACTCAGGGCAGTCCTGGGCTCCGAGGATCCAGAAGGTCCGTGGCATTGGTGGGATGACTTGGTGGCTAGCAAGTTGTTGGTCAACACAGGGAGGGGACACAGGGCGTTCACCTGCCTGGGCTCCCAAGCAGGAACCTGCAGGGACAGAGATGGTGCTATCAGCCATTGTCCCCTGCACACTGGCATCCCCTCACCGTACTTCTACACCCTCACCATTCTCCACGTGCTGCCACTGCTTCCTTTCGCACCAGCCTCTTTTTGTCGTCCAAAGGCTTGGCCAGTGCCCGGATAACTCGGCCTTTGTATGGGAGCAGCTGTAGTACAGAAGGGGCTCTTTGTGAGAGAAATAAATGGATGCTGGCTGCTCCCCAGGAGGTTTGGGACCCCCATGCCCCTCTACATGCAGGAGCAGGTTGCTGCAGAACCACTTACCACTGTTGTGGGCAGACTGGTGAGGGCATGGGCACAGCGCAGGGCAGCAATGCGGACAGCCTGGAACAGACAGGGATGAGGGCAGCACAAGGGGCAGGAGAGAGGGGGTGCATGGAGGGGAGGAAGGAAGGGGTTACGCACCATGGTGGGGCTAGAGGTGAGGTTGAGGAACTTGGTGACCAGTGTGTCGACATGCAGGCTCATGATCTGGGGAGCTTCGAGCAGCAATGGGTGGAGGCAGCTTAGTGTAGAGAGCTGTACTACACGATCCGAGCAGGACAAGGCCTCAAGCAGGAGGGAAAGCAGCTGCAGAGAGAGGGAGAACACAGAAGTCAGTCATGAGAACCCCAAACCATGCACTCCACAATGTCACAGCTCACCCTGCCTGCCACCCAGGCTGACACCTACCGAAGGCAGTTCTGTCACCAGCACAGGTTTGGGGAGGTGGTTGAGCACATGGGACAGGCCCTTCAGGTAATTGGCCTTCACATCTGTGGAGAGCAGAGATGGTTACAAGCAGCCTGCAGAAGGATGGGATGCTGGTCAGGTCCCCTGGTTAAAGGGTCAGGAGTGGTGAGGCTAGGCTGGGGGTGGCCACTCACCGGGGCCAGCCCCGTGGAAGCCTTGCACCAGCTTGGGGACGTTGTCAGTGAAGAAGCGCTGGCGGAACATGATGCGCACATCAGCATGGCAGCCCTTGTGCAGCACGTCCGGGGACTCGGCCATGAGCAGGGAGAAGCCATCAGCTGCGGCAGGGCCCAGCTCTGTATCACCCAGTAGGCCCAGCAGCTGTGAGGGAGAGAGCCCTGAGACGGAGTCCTGCTGCTCGGGGTCCCCAGTCAGCCATGGGGGAGCAAAGCAGGTTTCTTAGACATCACTCAGCCCCACCACCACCTACCTTGTCTGTCAGGCAGGAGCTCAGGGGGTGGTAGCGCAGCACCAAGGCTTTGGTCACCTGTGCAGGCAGAACAGTCAATGCCAGGCTGGGTCCCCCAGCCGCCCTGCCTCACTCATCCAGGGCAGGTCTTACCCAGAGCAGCAAGGTAAGTGCCTGCATTCGGCAGGGCCCCTCCACGAGGCTGGACTCCATCCTGTTCACTGCAAGCTGCAGGATTTCATCCAGCTGCTGCCCTGGGGATGGAAGGGACAAGCTGAGCCTTTCCCCCTGTCAGCAGTGGGCAGGGACACCTGGCATCTGCCCCAGCCCCTTACCTGCTGGGTGCTTATTCACCAGCCCTGCAAAGCTCTTGGCAGCTGTGGTGGCCGTGAAGGGACAGTTGCAGGAACAGCTCAATGCCAGCAGCTCCCGGAGCAGCCGTTCCTGCTGAGGAATTGCCACCTGGAAGAGATACAGAATGTGTTATGGCCCAGGGCTGCAGCTGCTCCCTCTGTCTGTCCATGGAGTTGGTGCGGACAGAGGCTGGAGGGTGCTTGGGCAGGGCTCCTCTCCACCCTGCTCTCTATCAACGTACATCACGGGGCAAGGAACAGACAAAGGCCATGAGGAGGGCAACCAGGCATCTCTGTGCCTCCAAGCACTCCCCATCCTGAAAGGGAATAACAGTGTCCATGTCATCACAGTCCTTGCTGCCAGTCTGTGTCAACATCCTCATTCCCAGCTCATTCTGGTGCTCCAGCCCCTATCACTAAACATACCCCAAAAGGCTGGAAGGAGCAGGGAAAACTGTTTTGGGGTAGGAAGGAGACCTCTCCATCCAGAAAGAGGGGCACCACATGAGACACACTCTGGGCAGCCAGCCTAGGAGAAAAAAAGACATTGTAATGTGCTTCTCTAGAAGGGTCATCGGAGACCTCCCAGGAGGAACAGGGTCACCCTGTACAGATAGCAGCAGGGGGCATGCAGCCTGCTCCCTCCCCATGATGGAGCACCCAGCTTCCTGCCCTAGCTTCACTCACTCAGGGCTCAGGTGAGTGGTGGCAGCACTGATGACTGGGATCATGGCAGCCAGCACCTCTTCCTCCAGCAATGTCTTGCCTGGCAGTGTATGCATGCTCTCTGCAGTTGGTGGGAGGAATGGAACTTGCTGGAGTCTGCTGTTCAGAGGGAGGAGGCAGGCACAGCCCCCTGAACCCACACCAGAGTGGGGCAGGGCTCTAGGACAAGGGCAGGGAGCAGTGCATCCCACTCCTGAGAGCCACGGGTACCAAAAGGCATCAGCAGCAGCACTGACTGCAGGATCAGGGACCCTCGAGAGCTCTCCCCTCTCCCACTCCAGCCCTGCACTTACCTGGCATGGCTGCCTGCACGGCCATGGCCAGCAGGCACGGCACCACCGTCTGGTGGAAGTACCAGCAGCCCTCAGCATCCTGTTGGCACTGCAGGGCCACACGGTGCAGGCTCTGGCACACAGAGACCACGTCTTTGGTGTTCCTAGCCTCGGTCCCTGCAGAGCACAGTCACCACCAAGTCAAACAACCTCAACATCAGCCCCCCTGATCTGCATCAGGATCCTGGGACAATGCAGCTCTTCTGACTCCCACTCCACCAGTGGGACACACAGCCCAGATGTGGGTCCCTTGTACCACTGCCATACCAGTTTTTTCCCAGCCATCACCAGTAACAGGCAGTTCCTGCCCAAATGCTCTGTGGAGCTGCCTGCAGCAGCTCCATTACCTTTCTGCATCTTCTGGAGATGCTGTAGCAGGACAGGGACAGTCTCCCTCACGATGCTGGTGTGGGTTGACACGGCTGCCAGGGCCTGCAGGCAGCGCTGCTGCAAGGCGTGGTGGTTGTGGTAGCTCTCCTCCCGCTCTGAAGAGGAAACACACCTCAGAGAGGGACCTGGGGACAGTCCCCCCACCAAGGGAAATCAGGGCCCAGATCCTGCCAGGGCAGATGGGGTGAAGCAGCACAGCAGACCCAGCTCATGCCAGGCTCAAGGCACTCTGCCTGCTCTGCAGCTGGGCAGCTCCTTCCCACAACGGTGATCACCACGTACAGGCTGGCTACCAGACCAAGCAGCCTTCCCTGTGCCAGCACACGGTGCCTGTGCTGGGAATCCCCCAAAGACAGCCACCAACCATAACACAGCCTCACTGCCTGGCAGGAGCCAATGGGGATGGGAAAAGCTTTACCCCAAAACCAGTCACCACTCCTTTCCCAGCCCTACCTGACTGCAGCTCCTCTTCAAGCCTGGGTACCATGCGTCCAGAGAAAACCTTTGGGTAGGTGGGGGCCAGGGACCCAGCTGCTTCCATTGCTGCTTCACTGCCAAGGGGAAAGAGAGTGTGAAAGGCCATGCGAGGACTGCAAATTCAGGGCTGCTTGTACACCAGCTGCACAGACCTGGCCAGAAGGTATCTCCAGAACCCAGTTTCTCAGTAATTTGCCTTTTTCACCCTTCAGGTACACAGAGCAGAGCGCCCTGCTTTGACAGGCTCAGAGTTTCTTATTTCCAGCCCAAGAACTGTCTGGTTTACCCCATGTAGTCTTCTTGTTCAGAGAACAAGAAGGCACAAGTTCCTGTGCCTTCCCTCAGACTACAGCCCCTCTCTGCAGCAAAGCCAGGCTTTGTTTCTCCTCCCAGAGTGTAGGTGACCGCCATGATGCCAGCCCACCCCTCACCTGCTCTGGGAATCTTCCTCATGCAGAGCAAGACGGATTAAGTGATCCACAACCAGCTCCAGATCAGAGGAAGACAGGAAGCCTGGAACAAGAGCCAGAGAGGAATCCTACCCTTGGCCAAAGGCAAAGATGTTGGTGTGCTGGACAGGATCCTTCCCCATCATCCAAGCCAGCAGCAATGCAGCAGCATACCAAATACCAGAGATACAAGGTGCCTTGCACAAACAGGCAAGAGAGAGACCAAATGTCCCTGGAGCTCATGGCTTGGATAGAACATGCTGCTGCTATTCCTGTGCACTTACAGGCAGCAGGCAAGGATGTCCCAGTAGCCACTGTGTCTCTCACAAGGGAGTGACACCTTCCTCTGTCTCATAAGAATAAAGGCACCAACCTTGCAGGGAGCCCAGGACAGTCAGTGCCTTGATCCCAACCAACTGCAGCTGCACACTAGGATCCAGCAGTGCTGAGAACACCACAGAGCAAACTGGGGCTCGGAGCGACAGCAGAGTGCTCTCATCTGGAGAGAGGGGCACAGAATCACTGCCTGAGTCTGGCTGTCACCACACAGCCACCATCATGGCACTTGACAGACCCTTTCTGGGATGCTGCATTTGATACCCAGTCATGCAGGGTCCCTGGGACATGGCAGGGACTCACACGTGCCACATTACTGGCCAGTGAGTTTTCCTTGTCTGTCAGCATACAGGAAAGTGAGGTCAGAACCAGCAGCCCTTGGGACACAGGTGCCTCCAGAGGGACCAGCCACCCTCACCTTCTTCCACATATCCCCACTTCTGCTGCAATTCCATGAAGCCTAGCAGCATTTCCAGGATTGTCCTCCTCTGGCTGCTCTGCAGGGACACAAAGGTGTAACCCAGATCACCGTTACTGCTGGGACAGAGCTGCACCTCAGCCCAGCACTTTGAGGCCACAGGATGCCTAAAGGGTCTCTCCCCACAGCCAGGGAAGGACATCTTCTTAGATAACCCGCTGCCCCCAGGCCCTGTGGAGCCAGCGGGTGCCCCTCACCTGCGTGTGCTTGGTGTACTGCTCCAGCAGCAGGGGCAGGACGCTGCGGGTGATGCAGTGGTAGGTGCGGAGGGAGGCACCCGCTGCTGCCTGCAAGAGTTTGGCACTGGGCCACACCAGCTTCATGTCGGGCTCGCACAGATGGTGCCTGCAATCTGAGATAGGCTGGGCGTCAGCTGCACCGGCGCAGAGCTCCTCTGCTTTGCGTGCGGGGACACAGCTGATAGCAGGGCTGGGACGTGCTGCCAGGGTGCAGCTCTGAGCTGCAGCACAGCCTCCTCAACTGAGCAGCTTCCCACAACTCCAAGCGCACAGACAGTGCAGTTCCAGCAGAGATGGAAGCAACTCAATCCCCTTGTCCTCCCTTCCTGCAGCCAATTACCTTGGAAAAGCCAAAAGTTGCTGTGAGGACTAGAAAGAGAAGAGGCTTGAAAGAGAAGAGGAAGGCAGATGTCTGCCTAGGAGCATGCTTTCAGGCCTGGCTCCATGGGGCAGGTCCCTGTTAACTACCTTGCAGGATGCTGCTGAGGAAGGAATCCAGCAGATCCTCAGAATCAGAGCTGAGCACGGAGCGGGAGAGGCAGGCAGAGAGAGCATGCAGTGCAGCCAGGCATTCCGTCTCAATCTTCTCACTCGCTGTCTGGAACACCTGGAGGAAAGGCCATAGGAGGAGCTGAACTCCACGCCGACAACAACCACAGCCTTCAGGCTCCCAACACAGGCTGAAGGGCTCAGGCTCCTGCCTCATTTTCCACGTGATTTGAACATGCAGCACGGCACACTCAAGCCACATGGACAGGCTGATAGGGCTGGTCTGTCCCGTCCACTTTACAGCTTGGGCAGTCCAAGGTCACAGGTCCAGGCTGCTGGCAGATATGGGGCCCACCCGGTCTAACTGAGAACTCCTGCTCAGTAGAAGCTCAGCCATGGTGGAGCCCTGCAGTACTCACCTCTCTTCGCAGGGATGACCAGAGGCTGGGAAGGAATTCCTGCAGCTCCTTCTGCCCGTAGATGGCACAGCAGGCAGTCTGCAAGAGGGAGCCAGGAGAAAGCATCACAGAGAAGCCAGTACCAGGAGGACACGGTGCCAGGACACTGGCCATCCTGACAAGCTCATGCTGAGCTGCACAAATAACTCAAGAAAAACTGGAAAAAGTGATGCAGGCCAAACCAGGACTCTGGAAATTGTGGCTCTGCAAGAGAGAGTTGCTGGGTGGCAGGGAGAAGGGCTCTCCTTACCAGAGTCTGCAGCGAGTCAAGCTTGGCACTCTGCAGTTCTGAGTCCAACTTCTCAATAAGCAGAGGGAGAAGAAACTGCAGAGAGAAGCATTTTAATTCAGCCCATCCCTTGCACCACCTTGTCCATGGCCCTGCAAGGCTGCAAGTTCAGCCTCTGCCAGGAGAGGTGAAGGGGTAGCAGCAATAGGCAGCCCCTTCCCAGAGTGTCAGACAGTACCCTCCCCACCAGGAGACAGGGATGCCCAAGTGTAAGCTCCTGGTCCCAGTTGTTCTCATCCCACAGAGTCACAGCAGGAGCTGCAGCACTATGAAAGGCAGCCTGTGCTCAGGGAACAGGGAGGCACTCAAGAATCCCCAAGGAGCTTTCTACCTCAGCAAATTGGGGTGTGGAGGCCAGTACAGCCCGGAGGCTCAGGATCAGGTCTTCCCTCTGGATGCCATGAGGATCATTGGGGGGCTGGAAAAGAAGCAGAGAGCAGGTCACCCACCAGTCAGGAAACATCCTAACCCAGCCACCAGCTGAGGCTGCATCACTTCATCTCCAGCAAGGCAGCAGCAGTGCCAGTCACTGCAGCTAGCTTGGCCCCAGCCTGTCAGCTTGAGTACAACAGCTCAACAGCTAAACAATGCCCAGCTAAGATCCTCGACCACCCTCTCATCCCACTCCTTGGAGGGGACACAATCCCCTAAGAAAACGCCAGAAAGAAATAAAGAATAGGCTGTGGCACATGGCAGACTCACTCACTGGAGTAAAATCAACAGGGAAGTAGCAGGATGTAACTTCAAACAGCTCCTCCACAAAGGGACCTGCAGACAGAGGAGAGAGGGGGTGAGCAAAGATATTGGGCAAAAAAATGCACAGCAGCTATGTTTAGCATCCACAGCAGTGGGCTCTGCAACTTTTAAAGCATGTTAGGGATCACCTCAGGCCTGGTCAGACCCTAGAGCCATCCCTCCAATGGCTCAAAGAAAAGGGACGTTTCCCAATCAGCTCTGCATGGCAGGTTTAGGCTCACCCAGGGCATAGTCCTTGGCAATGAGATCATGCACAATCTGGAAGGCCACCAGCAGATTGCGGGGATCCTTCTCCCCATCCATGACCTGGATGAAGCCGAAGGTGAAGTTGGCACCCAGGCCTTTCAGCTCTGCAGAAAGAAGGAGCGTGAGCCGGTGCAGGACATCAGACCTCACAACACGGCATTAAATCAGCCGAGTTGCCCCAGCCCCACAGTCCTTTTCCAAATTTCCCAGGCAGAGCCACAGAGCCCTTGGAGAAGGTAAAAGTAAGTAATTTTCCCAGCCTCAACAATCCCAGAGTGGCTCTGGCATCTGCCCCCTCACCTTCCTCCCTGGTGTTCATGAAGTTGGTGATGATGCTGTAGACTGTGTGGCGGTCCAGCTGCATCAAGGACTGAAGAGAGGAGCAGACCAATCAAAACCATTCTCTACACATGACAGCACAGCTACCCACTACACCACGGGCAGCACATGCCCTTGAGAGAGAGAGCAGGACCCCCAGCAGCTCAGCTGCTGCTTCCTGGCACAGAGATCTCATTTATCACATGCAAAGTGTGCACATGCCTATGCAATGGCACATGTACATGACTGTCCCATCACTGCATGAATGCACTATCAGTCACACCAGGGCCATGCACGCTGCCCAAGGTACTGCCAGCAAAAACAATCTTAAATGTGAGGACAATTGGACTGGGGGCACTTAAACACAGCCTGGAGAAGGAAGTAATTTCCCTAGGGCTGAGAAAAGAGAGGGCAAGGGCCAAACAGGATTCTTGGCTGCTGTCTGTCTCTCACAGTCTCTCTTGCAGTGAGCCAAGCTGTCTCTAAGTTCTGCAGAAGCACTGCACTGTGCTGAATGTGGCCAGTCCTCAGGGCAGGCAGGCCATTCTCAGACACACAGGGAGCGGAGATCAAGGACAGGAAGATGGGAAATCACAATGCTCACCTGCACATGTACCTCTTGGAAGATGGCTTTGAGCACAGATACTGCTAGCCCTGGGGACAGCACTTCACACATGCTCTGGGGACAGGAAAAGCAAGAATAGAATACCATGATGGCAGCCACATAACAGAGCTCCTGCCTCTGTGCAGCATATGCCTGCAGGATCCTCTTCCACAATAGAGAGCTCACCATCCCCTCCCCAGACAGAACAGGACAAGATACCCATCATCTGTGCTGCTCCCCAGGGTGGCCAGGGAATCCTTGCCCCAGTACCAACATAGGGCAGGAAATCAAGGCATCTCCTGTCCCCAGCTCCTCTGAAAGAGGCACAGCAGGAGAAGAGAAGAGACAGGGCAATGCTGCCAGATAGGCTGACAGCCAGGCCCAGCCAGGCCCTGCTCAACACACCACTCCAACCCATACCCAGGTGTTGCACCTCCCTGACACTGCTCTGGAATGCATCCCAGCACTGCAGGCTGGGGCTGCGAGCTCACCAGTGCTCGGAGTCCCTGGAGCACCGAGGGAATCACCAGGTGATGATCCTGCAGCCGGCTCTCATAGAACAGGACCAGATGCAGCACTGTCAGAAACAGACACCAGTATGTGTTAGCCCTAGGAAACGCAGCTACTGGGTGCTGGCCCCAGCTCGACCACAAGGTGATGGATTGAGTGAGCACATCTTGCACTGGTGAATGGGAAAAACTGTTGTTGTTGGGTTCACCCACCTGGCTCCAATACCTTTAGCCTCTCCTTGTAAGTAACCCACACCTAACTACAGCAGGGCAGCAGCCACCTCTGGCTGCTGCAGAAGTGCTGGAGCTACCCAAGAGGCATTTGCCCTGGCCTGTCCAGACATGTAAATGCAGACACCAGCAGTCGAGTGGCAGTCTGCTCAATGAAGGCTGGAGGATGTTATGGGGTGAGGCACAGGGCTGGGGCAGGAGTTCTGGCTTCCTCGAGCTTGGCTCAACAACACGTTCCTGGCCCCTGAGTCACGGCCATGGGCGCCTGCACACCCCAGCCCTGGGGAGTGGTAGCAGGAAGCAGACTGGAAGAGCCGGCTAGCAGCATCCTGTGCCCACAGCTGCTGCAGAAACTCAGCCCCCCAGAAGGCAGCCTGACACAGCGCTTGAGAAACCACCTGCGTGAGCAGGGACACGAGCCTCTAACACAGCTCACTCCCCTTGCTCAGAGAGCCCCTTTTCTCCTTCAAGTATCCCCACTGAACCTCCCCACTTCTGGCTGCCCTTCCAGAGCACCCCAGTTCCCATCAGTCATCACACCTGGCTCCAGCTACTGCAGTAGATAAAGTTCTATACACAGCTGCTCTCAGCCCTGTCTGGCTCCAGTCAAAGAGAGCCAAATTACAAGGACTAAGCATCTTCTACTTCCATCCTCCACCTTACTTACTAGCTAGGCCCCCTGTCTAGCCAGGCTGCTGGCATAAGTTCAGCTTCCCATCTGCAAGGCCCCCAAGCCAAAGCTTGCTAGCACTTACTGGCTTTCCCTGCTGCCAACAAGCTGCTATGGGGCATTTAACAGAGGCAGGCCTTCTCCTTGCCTCCATGGGCATCTTCCCCTCCCCACTCCGGTCCCTCACTCCATTCTCATCCTTGTGCTGACCTCCCCTCCTCCCCAGGCCTCCTCCTGAGTTAACCTGATCAGGCTGCAGGGCTGCAGTGTGACTTGGTGTGTGATGGACAGTCTTCCTGCTCTGAATCATCACCCAAGGATTCTGACATACAGATGTATCCCCAGCACATCCCACGTGGCACTGAGCACACCTGGGTGTGCAACACCCACACACTGTCAGGGGCCCAGCTGTCCAGGGATTTGGTGTGTTCAGACAGTGACAGTGAATTGTGTGGTGAGGTTGGCACAAAGGCTGCAGCACAAAGCCTCGTGCCCTCCTTGGACTTTGACTCTTAGGGGCATGTACAAAGTTGTCACAGTTAAATCAATCCCTTTGCCAATTGCAGGACAGACACTTTAATGACACAGGCTTTGTCCCCAGCCAGACACTCAAGGGCCAGAAAAGCCCTTACCTTCCTTCTCCTGGAGCAGGGAATAACACTGGATCAGGACTTGTGACAACAGCTGAATGCCTCGCCCTCGCATCCGAGGATCTGTGTTCTCCAGACAAAACCTAGGCCAAGAGGGGAGAAAGCCCAAGAAGCCTGTTGTGAGCAGGTTCATCTAAGCAGGAAGCATGTCCTGAGCAGGCACATTACAAAAACAAAGAGGTGCTACTCTGTGGGCTCAATCATGACTGACTTGCTGGCAGAGTGAAAACAGATTCCTCTCCCCCTGTCTGTGCTGCATGTGTGCACTCAGCCTCAGAATCATGCAGAAAGAAATCCAAGCTCTCAAGTCAGACCAAACAAATTGCTCTTGCACCATGCTCCCAAGATCACAAGGGTCAAAAAGGGTAAAGCCTCTTACAATGAGGCAAACCCAGCTGCCACCTTGGAGGAAATGAGCCTAGGCCATGACAGTTTGGAGACAAAAGCAGAAGCTGAGTGCCAGCCAACTTGTGACATGGTGTTGTGCACCTGTGTGCTCAGGCAGCTCCTGCTGGGGACAGCCCCAACTGAAAATGCCCTGCAGCTTGCTGCCTGCCACAACATCTCTCCTTGGGAGAGCACCAAGAAGCTGCTCCAGCCTTGCTCTTTCCCAAAGAGTTCCACGTCCAGAGAGTGAAAAGCACTGCACTGCACTGCACTCACATGCTGTGAACAGAAAACATCCTGTCCACTGCAATGTGTCATCCAGTGCTGAAGGTCATCCTGGATGAGCAAACTTGTCCTTCTAAGTATGCCTTGTGGGAACATCCCCTGCAAGGCCCTTACCCGATGTATAACTTGCACAAGGCTTTTCTTACCCCAGGGCTTCCACAAGCTGCAGCACTGTCCACCTTCCATCTTTCACCCCTGGAGAAAGGAGGTAAAAAGAGTGAACCAGAGAGATCATGCAGATATTATATTTGGAGATGGATGCTGGGAAGCATCTCAGCACCACAGTGGGAAAGGCTGGTTGGTGCTAATTCCTCACTAAGCACCAAAGGAGCCATATGCACTTAACTGATAGAGCTGCCTGCAGCCCAGCCTGCAAAAACCTCTGAGACTGAGAGGAGACAGCCAGAGGAGAACTTGCCTGCAGTTTGCCTCACCCTCTCCCTGCAGCGTGGCTGTATGTGTGGCTTCTAAGAGAAGTCTTGCTGTGCTCCACTTCACTGAGATACTAAAACCCCCTTCTCTAATGTGAGCATGCTGTGAGGAGACAGAGGGCAGCCCTCCAGGTGCTTCCTGAGGGAAAACTGGCTGAACAAGCAGCACAGACACTAGTGATCAGTCAGCTTCCCACCTTGGCTCCATCATCTCCATGCTGTGCTGAGCAAGAACTGCACAAACTTCTTCCAAGATGGAGGGCAGGGAGAAAGGCAGTTTTGTGGTCAGAGGAAGATAAAATGCTGGGATTCCTGGAGTTTATTTCCAACTCTGACTCAGATTCCTTGCCAGGTTGCCTCATTCACCTCCTCCCTCTCTATTCTTGCAAATTGACTGGGGGAAGAGTCACTTCTCAGAAGGCTTCAGTAAGGACCTGCTTGCTGCACATTACAAGAACCTTGGCAGTAGGGCAGGCTCTCTATTCCTGCCACCCGTTGCCAATGTGGCACCTCCCCAGAAGGACAGATCTGTGTACACCCTCTGCTCAGACATGGGGTGGCAGGCAAGGGACTGCCTTTCCTTCAGACCCCTAAGCTGCAGCTCAGGTGCCAAGTGACATTGCTGGAAAACAAACAGCACCCCTCACTCTGCCTAGACAAAACAGCATTCCTTCACAGAAAAAACACCCAAATCACCTGGCAGTCAGTTGGACTCACTGTCTTTGCCAAGGGGCACTTCTGGGCACTCTGGAGGGACCTGCTCACCTCTCTGCCCTGCTGAACCTACACGACTGACAGGGCACTCACCCTCTCAGAAGCCCAAAGGTTTCATTAAAAGCTTTCCCAGGCCTTGTTCCAGCTAATATCTTCTGCTGTTGCAAGCATTTACTGTCTCTTCCTGAGAAGTTAATTCCAGTATTAAGACACACTGTTCATCATAGAGCTGTCTCTAGGGATGGGATGATAGTGTTTTCTGACAGTGTGTTCTGACAGCAGGCAGTCCTGACTCCAGAGACAGAGCTTTCAATCCTGCCTGGCACAGCAGGGAGAGGGAGCCTGAACTGAGAAACAGAACAGATAAGAGAACTGCCTGGAAAAATAGCCCAGCAGGTCTTGGAATTGACGGGCACAGACTGAACAGGGGGTGCCCGCAGAGACAGCCATAACGTGCTGGCAAAATTTCTTGCAGAATAACAACAGTGAAACAACAAGCAAATGCTGTGCACCAGCCAAAGCAGAGTGGGCTGCAGAGAGAGCTTGCATGGCCCCTCTACATCCAGCATCCCGGTATCTCGATCTGCAAGCTCATGAAGAGCCCTTGTGCCTCTGCACCATCACAGAAAAAGTCCGAGGCAAATGCCATCTCTGCGGCCAGGTGCTCTGCCTCTGTGTGTCTGCAGAGACTGAAAGCAGCTCTACACAAAGCTTCTGGTTCCCTACTCAACACGAAAGAGCTGCAGTGTGATGGCCAAACCACAGCCAGGTACTGATACTCCCCGTGATCAGCAGCAGAGAGGTCAGCAGCTCCTTTGCTCAGCTCAGCAAGGGAGCTCCCTCTGTTCTCGGGGACCCAGCTGTGACCAGCTTCACCTCACACGGTGTGGCCACCCCTCCCTGGCACAGCCTGCGAGCATAGCATGCTTGTGGCCAGCACTGCACAGGCCACAGCATGAGCACCAGCATAGCTAATTGGACCTGCCTCATCAGCATGGCAGGCACAGTGGTGAGCCCCTGAAACTGCTGCCTCCACATCTGGCAGCAGCACACATGCCCCAAGGTTAAATCAGGCACGTTGAGTCTCTTTACCAGGAGGGGCTGCCTTTCTATTCTGGGATTCTTGTAGTTCCCAGAGACTTAACAGAAGCAAGCCGTCCACCCTGTGCTGGACTGCTACTCTGAACAATGTGCTCTCTTTCCTGACAGGTCTGTCCCCCTTTCAGCGTCCTTCTAGGTATTAGTCACTTCTGAAGGCCTTCCATTCTTGTTTCCCCCACACCGTCAAAATATGAACACAATGTTCACTGGGAATATGTAATAGATTCTGTAACAGCAGTATCTTTCTATCCCCACTTTTTAAGAAAGATTAATTCAGCCTCCTCCTGCCACCCACCGACCCAGCCCAACCTGCCTGTGACAGCACCAAGGCCTTTCTGCCACTTGCCCAGTTACACTCATTTTAGTCCTCAGCAACAAACTGGGGAAGCTCAATGTTTTGTTACAGCAATTGCACAATGGCCATGAGCTTAGAAAAGACCTCCCTTTTGCTCAAGGATACACAGTGCAATTTAATCCTTTCTGATGTGTGGTTCTGTATGAGGTCAGAGGAGCTCAAGGACTCTTGCCAGCCCCACTGTTTGTGAAGGTGTATTTGTCAAAAGAGCTACAGGGCTGAAAAGAGCTGGGGGGAGCAATTCTCTTTGTATGTCTTCCAAGAGACAAAGCTGTCTCCAAGCACTTCTGTAAGGTGGCATCAGGTGACAACAGCAGCTGTAAGGTTATCCTTCCCCATCTATCTGAAATGTCAGAGACTGTGCAACCCTTCTGCAACATCTTGAATGTCACAATTTAGTGAATTCCTCCAAATTTCCTTGGCATTTTCTTCACTCTGTGTTACATGGACCACCGGGTTACCTTCATGTTTTGCCAGCTCATCTCATCACCAAGACAATACAGAGCAGTTCACAAGCCATCAGGCCTTGGGAAAGGTCTATAAGCTACCTATCTGTGTAATGTAACATATACAGATAGCCCCTCTCAGCTCTCCGAGCTCCTTCCGAAAACATGCTGAAGCCACTGCCAACAAACACCAAAGTACCATCTTATCCTTAGAAAGCCACATTTCTGAACCTGTAACTTCCCTAATGCAACAAAGTCACCCAACTGCCGTTCCCAGGAGATGGATAAATTATCGGACGAAAACAAATGCCTCAAGCCCTGCTAGGAAAGGGGGAGAAACCACAGTGAGGGCAGTCTGCAACTGTCACCTCCCACGGTCCCTCTGGCAAGGCCATAAGTGCTCTTCCCACTGTCGATTTCTCTGCCACCCACAACTGCCTCGCTCCAGGAGCCCCTCATCCTCATGGCTATCCCACTCTTACTGCACATCTCCTGGGCAGCTCCGAGCTGCAGGCCCTACCCTACCCTACCCAACCCATTCCCACGTGTCCTGCCCCGCACGGCAGCCTCATAACCCACAGACACGCTCCGTCCTGCGCCTCCACACCCTACCCTACCCTGCCCTACCACGCTGATTTCAGCCTAGTCTAGCCCAGCCCAACCCCAGCCCCGGCCCCGGCCCCGCAGCCCCACGCTTCCTCCCAAACCCCTCCCCACATCGCCACAAACCCGCCCGTGCCCACGCCCGCCCCAGGCCCAGGCCGGCCCCGCCGCCGTGCCCACACTCAGTCCCGCCCCGCCCCGCCCACGCGCGGTACCTGCCGCCACCTCCGCGGCGCGGCTATCCTGCTGCCCGGACACGAAGTCCCGGACAGAGGTGGCGAGGGCCTCCCCCTCGGCCGCCGCCATGACACCCGCGCGCAGGGCCGCGGCCCGGCCCCCCTACCCCGCCTGCGCGTGCGCGGGGGCGGTGCCGGCGGTCACGTGCCCCCGGGGGCGGGGCGGTCCCGCGCGCACACCGGGCCCCGCGCGGAGCCGGCGCGGCCCCGATGCCGAGCGCCGCCGGTCGGCCCCGCCATGGGCGGCTGCGTGGGGCGGCAGCGCCGGGAGCGGCCCGCTGCCGGCGGCAACACCCGCAAGCGAGCAGGTGAGCGGAGATCGTCCCGGTTGGGCACCCCCGCGGTCGCGGGCACTGGGGCGGGGGGAAGGTCCCGTGTCTCCCTGGGGGTGGCGTGGGAGGAATGTGGACACCGGAGGGGCGCAGTCTGCCAGGGCACAACTTCCCTCTCGCACAGCCCCAGGAGCCGGTCTGTGTCCTCCGGGTTTCCGGACCCCGGGGATCCCGGTTCGGTGCGCGGCCTCGGGGGCGGACAGGAGCCGTGGCTCCTGTCCCGGCGCCTCGGAGGCTTTGCGGGGTCAGGGCTGGGGTGCGCAGCGCGTCCAGCCGAGCCCTGCCAGTTCCCGGCTTTTCCCTGGAAGTGCTGTCCTGAGAGCACTTCAGGGTGGTGGATGCCCCCGGTCTGGGCTCGGCAGCGTCCCCCGGCACGGCGCATCCTGCGAACGGCAGGGTCCTGCCTGCTCGGGGTCGGTGCTGTCCCGTACAGCTGGCCGCTGCCGACGGGCGCGACCCAGTTCCCGCTGCCCCGGGGCTTCGGGAACAGGGTAGGGCAGGGAGCGGCTGCGCCGGTCCGGAGAGCAGCGGCGGCGCCGTGGGGCCGGTGCAGCCCCGCGGCCCCCCGGAGTTACCGGTAGCCGAACACCCGGGTGCCATGAGGCGCTTCCCCGTGATGCCGTGCCGGAGGGTTCCGGAGGCCGCGGGGATCGGTACAGTGGACTTTCGGCGGAGAAGCCGTGGGCTGGTAGGATGAATCACGCCTTTCCCTTGCCGCCTCCCCGGCCGGTGCCGTCGCAGCCGGTAATTACCGTGTTTATGGCAGAGCAGTAGTGGGCGGTGGGAGAGGAGGGGCAGGAAGCGTGTGCCCAGGACGGGACGCCCCGGCCCTCGCCTGCAGCTGGGATGAGGGACGGAAGGGCGTTTTCCGTGGGACAGTGCCCGCCGCTCCGGCAGCACGTGTAGGGGGCCGGGGCTGCTGGGCCAGGTGCCGCCTAGTGCCGGTGCCCTGGGCAGCAGCTCCCACCGCGCAGGGCTCCAGGTGTGCCAGACTGCCCCCGGGGATGCCCTGCTGGTATGGGTTGAGGTGATAGCCCCCCCCCCCCACCCTGACACACTTTGCCCCCCCAAGAGTGCCTTCTTGCGGGTGTCAGTGAGGCCTGGGGTCCCTGGCTGACTGTTCCCTGAGCTTGGCGGGATGTGGGGCCATTGCCTTGTAGCTCCAGCTGCTCTGACGGGGCACGGAGTCAGATCCCAACATTAGGATCGGCTGATCCCCTCCCGTGCTAGGTAGCAGCTGACTGCAGAGCCTGTGTCTCCATCCCCACTTGCTCTCCTGGGATGGGTCATGGTCCCTTCCTGGTATCCTGCTAGCAGTTGCTGCTGCTGCTTTCTTGCAGTATGTCCCTTCCTGGGAGAGCAGGGCTGTCCCTTGTGCCAAGTACCCTGGCTGGTTCCTGCCTTTGCTTGCATGGTGCCACCAGCCCATGGGAGCTTGCTGTGACTCTTTGTGGAGGGGTCCTGTGAGGGCTTCCAGCAGCAGGTGACAGCATTGTACCTGGGGTGGCCAGCTTACCACAGTGGGAGCTGGGGATGCCGGTGGCACACAGCATCCCAACCCCGCCTGGCTCGGGAGTGGACCAGTCAGCACTGCTGGAAGCAGTGGTGTGTGCCATCTGGCTGACATCTTCTCCAGGGCCTCCAGGACCTGTCAGCTGGGGCTGCCTAAGGCTCCTGCACTGCAGACAGGGAGCAAGCCCAGGGCAGGGAAACCTTTGGGTCACATCCTCCTGCCCGAGGGTTCCTCACCCAGGCACCGCGGGGGGCTGAGCCACGGGAAGGGTGCTGCAGGCACAGGGCAGGAGGCAGCAGACTGCCAGCCAGATCCTGTTGGCTCGAGTCCGGGCACAGTGAGCGGATGGACCTGTCTGGTGGTGCTGCCATGGAGAGTTGCACAAGGGGCCAGTAATAGAGCAGTAGGAGGTGATTAGAAGGTGCAGGCCTGGCTGGGCGGTAGCAATAAATAGATGAGGCTTAAGCCCCTGCCTACCTGTGTAAGACTGCTGGGCATGCCTGTACACATGAGGCAGCCACAGCTGACCCCCACAGCTCCAATCCTGCTGCCTCTCCTGGCCCAGCCTCTTTCTTCCCTTTGCTGCAGGCAGTGCTGAGGGAATGGTGCTGACTGAAAGTGCTGGCCAGGCATCCTGGCTGTGAGGACATGTGCCCCAGCCTGGTGGCCACAGCAGTGTAGGGACATGATCCCAGACATGTCCTTGAGGCTGGCTGTGGACACTTCACCACTGCCCTCCTGGGGCAGGTGTTGCCTCTGACCTTGCTGTGTCCTGTGGTGCTGCAAATCCCTCTGGACCAGCACCGTGACTGCTGAATTGGCAGCACTGGCTGCAGCCGGCTGCCTTGCTCCTCCAGGGATGTGGCAGGATGCTGCCTGTCAGGGATGCTCAGTGCCCAGCCCTGGGGTAGCTGAGCACCTGTGCCCCTTGGGGACCCCTGAGGTGGATGCTTGCTGGAAAGCAGATGCTATGCTGGCTCCAGTGGTCTTGGGTAGAGTGAGGCAGAGCTGGTACAATCAAAAAGGTCATGTAGTGCTTTATGTCACCATACACTTGCTCAGGAGCAGCTGCCTGGGGAATTTGGCTCAGCCCAGAGCTGGCAGTGATGGCTGTCTCCAGTGTCTGGGCTGTGTGGCATTGCCTTGCCTGGCAGGTCACTGTTTGGGCACAGGCATCTTCTTGCCCAGCTAGAGCCTTACTTTCCCCTCATCCTGTCCCTACAGGAGGAGTGCTGCCTGGCCAGCTCAGGGTGACAGGAAGGAGCTGTTATGCATTGTCTCCAGTTCAGCTGGGAGTGACAACTCCTTCCTGCCCCACATGTCCAGGCTGGCTGTGGGGCCGATGGGACAGGGCTGTTCCCACAGGTTCACAGCCCAGTGTTGTGAGGGCATGATGATCTGGGACTGGCATTGGGGTGGCTCAGATCCCTGGGCAATGCTGGCTGCTGAAGGTCTGTGGGGATGTGGCTAGGGCCTGTTTTGTGGAGAGCCAGCTCAGTTCAGCCCATAGCTGGGGCAGCTGCAGCTGGCAGCAATGCCCTCTTGTCCCCCTGATGCCCAGGACGCTGTGTGCCTGCTGTCTTGCCCGCAGCTGGTCCCTGTCATCCTGGGGTGGCAGAGGGGACGGTGAAGTCCTGACCCCCCTTTGCTGCCACTCATCCCTTGTAATCTCCTTCTCATTCCGACTCACCAGCTTATTTCCTGGCTAATTCCCCAAGCTATAAATACAGCTCTGCCTCAAAGGGCCCCGAGGCCCTGTGGCCACCCTACGGGGCAGCGACTGGTCTCTTAAACAAGGAAGCAAGACTCCTTGTCCCCTCTGACGGCAAAGGGTGTCACTGGGGGGAGTAACTGCTGTGGGGCCAGTGGGATCTTGGGCTGGGCTAGCTTTAGCCCAGTTACCCCTGGCTACACTGGGGGCTGTTCTTCTCTGGATAGGGTGATCCTTATCCTATCCAGTGGGAGTATAGGAAAGCGGGGGGCTCAGGCCCAAGGGGAAACCCTGTCCTTTGGCTGAATATCCCCTCACTTGCAGGCCGCAATGAACCCCTGAAGAAGGAGTGTCCCAAGTGGAAGAGTGACTACCCCATGACAGACGGGCAGCTGCGCAGCAAGCGGGATGAGTTTTGGGATACAGCACCTGCCTTTGAAGGCCGCAAGGAGATCTGGGATGCCCTGAAGGCAGCTGCCTATGCTGTAGAAGCCAATGACCACAGCCTGGCCCAGGCTATCCTCGATGGAGCCAGCATCACCCTGCCCCATGGTGAGGGTCAGCACTGGGGGTTTGGGTGGGGTGTGTGCTGAGTCCCCCATATCTGTGCACATGGAGGTCCCAGGCTGGAGAAAAAAAGGAGCTCCCTGCCATCCAGAGCTCAACCCAGCCAAGGGAAGTAAGGCAGGCTGTGCCATGCTGCTTAGGGTGGCCCTGTCCCCATTTTCCCACCCTTAGCATCTTATCCTGCTGTCCCCAGGGTCCCTGACGGAGTGCTATGATGAGCTGGGCAACCGTTACCAGCTGCCCGTGTACTGCCTTGCACCCCCTGTGAACCTGATCCTGGAGCGGAGCGAGGAGGAGGCGGTGGAACCAGCTGAACCTCTGCCCAATGCCCGGCGGGAGTTCACCCTCAAGGTGCGCCTCTCCACCGGCAAGGACCTGCGGCTCAGCGCCAGTATGAGTGACACCATCGGGCAGCTGAAAAAGCAGCTGCAGGCACAGGAGGGCATTGACCTGGCCTGGCAGCGGTGGTTCTTCTCAGGCAAGCTGCTCACTGACCGCACACGACTGCAGGAGACCAAGATCCAGAAGGATT